GCAGTGATCTACACACTCTGTCCAATTGCACAGAAAATGCTGCAACCCGGGATCTGGTACTTCGAGGCGTCCAGATTATCAAGGAAAGTCTTCTTCGATATCCACGTCGAGTACCTACACAAGAGGCTGAACCAATGGACGTTGACACCACAGATCATGTGAGTGTCGCATCCTCTGACCGACGACCCAAGGCCAAAGCCCGACCGCGACGCGGAGGCGAAGCCGTACGGGGTGATGTGGTCTTGATCCGTTATGAGAACAAACACAATCTCTGCACGGATGTGGAGAATCGTCGGGGCCTAAATGATGCTTGTGGCGTACCACTGCAGGAATCGGGACCAGAGAATAGCCAGCGAGTGGTGGACATCATTGAGCAGCTTTCGGACCATCGCGACCGACGCCTACCTCGACGAGGAGACCGTCCTAGCTTTGCTTACGATGAAAACACTCATAGCTACACCAACGCAGGCTATGAATCCATCGGCGGCGGAAGGCCAATCCGGTGCGGGATTCTCGACCTGATCCCAACCAAGGGTGCAAGCTTCATCAACAATCGGTGGGACCTCGTGAACGAAGTTGTCCTTCGCAACATCACCCGTCAGCGCAGACTGAACGCGGATTGGGCGCTATCATGCATCCAATCTGACTTGCGCCACAGAATCGCCAGGCGCCCAGGCTCGGAATGGCTTGACAACAGGTGCCAGGTGGCATTCAACAGTGTCATCAAATGTGATGAAGGAGGATGGGTGATGATCGAAGACTTGGTGAGGCATGAGCCACTATGGACCCATGAAAGCAGACGCATCACCGAAGGGGTCTCAAGGACCGATGACCAACAGAAGAAGAGAGTGTACAATGAAAGACTTCAGCTATTGTTCCAGGGGAACATGATTGCAGCCACGAAACGCAACAAGGCCAAGATTCGGTTGCAGTTCCTGGGTGTGAGAGTGAAGGACCCCGGCACGGAAGTTCTTGGATCAGCAGGTTCGAACAGGTTGGTATCGGTTCAGGACCAGATCACGGAGATCCAGAACAACGATCATTGCCGGCATGGCCAGAGGTACCTGAACATATGCAACGGCTGGGTGAAGCCATGGGCAGTTCGGGCTACGAGTGGTCACTCTGCGCACTCAGATCCCCAGAACAACTTGCTTCAGTTGGACAAGAACAGGTTCGCAATATCTCCATCTATGACCCTCTTGCAACGTCTTGGAGGTGCGTTCCACGCTACGGCATGCCGCAACTTGGATTCCATTGTCACGCAAGGCATCATGCCTGGTTCGGAGGACCCCGACGGGGACTTCGACCATAGGCGCCAATTCCGAGGCAACCAAGGTGGCAGACTCCACAGCTATTGGGGGGTGTTTGCGCCGTTCGATCACCGGAACGCAACGACCAAGATGCGAGTACATGGACGAGACGCCAAGCACATGCCATTGGCGGTCCTTCATGTCCCATCGCAAGATCTTGCACGAGAGGATGGACGTATCACAGACAGCGGCATCATGATCGTTGGTCGAACGATACCTTTCCATTTCGTCAAGGAGGTATGGTTTTGCGTCCCTGATCCTCGAGATACACACTCTTTCGCTCTGGTGGAAAAGATCTACGATGAAAGGTTGGAGAAAGAGCTGGTGTTGGACTACAATGCATCACCGTTGCTTCCTGAGTTCGAGAGATACCGAACGCCAAGCAAGATCATGGAATTGCTTTGCGAGATGCCTCCTGGACCCCACGACACAAGCAAGGAGCAGATCATTCGAGACCTCACGACTGTCCTGGAGTCCCACAGGGAGAACACGGTTCGGCATCACTACATGGACAAAGGAATCAAGTTTGTCATCAAGAATTGGCGACCCGAAGACCTACGCAGAGACGAGGATGGACGGAGAATGAGGGTATGCCCGGCATGCTACAACATCGTTCCAGCATGTTTCTCCCGATGCACGTCTTGCTGGTCACAGTTCATTTCGAGCGGATATTACCAAGGTTCTCCACAACGGGAGACTCCTACGGAGATCCCCAGTGACTTCATTGCTCAGACAATGGAAGCCGCAGCAGCCGCAGTGCCTGAGGCGCCCGAAGAGGAGCAGGAAGCCATGGAGGTAGAGACCGTTGCGGAACCTGAAGAAATCCCAGAACCATCTGTCATCGCGGAGGACGATCCAGAACAGGAACCTGATGAAGAAATGGACATAGAGCCTGGAGAGGACTTTGATGACGCAGTACCAGAAGCAATTGCACAGGAACGTCGTCCCGTCTTCGTTACCGGCCAGTCTTTGAACATCGATCCTGAGCTACAACTTGCACGTACCGCCATGCAGCCATCCTACTATTCTGGAAAGCGAAATGCCCATTGCATTGACGCGAACATGACCGCTCTTTCGTACATGGCATACGTGGTATGCAGATCCATCTACAAGGCTTGGTCAGGATTCGCAAAGTGGGCGACTATGCCGTTGTTTCAGATGAGGGAAAGTTTCGCACTTGGCCAACGCTATGATGTGCTTGGAAAGTGGGGATCTTTGGCGGCAGTGGATAGGGAAACGGGTGTGAGCAAGGATGTGACTGATGAGGAGATCATTCGCTTTGCCAAAGAACCTGAGAACCTCAAGCAGTATGATCCCAACGGGACTTACACCTTGAAGCGCTTCCGGACGAACCAGATGCTTTCTTTACTTACACGGGGAGCCAACATGATGGGAATTGGCAGGGACAACTTCAACCCTACTACTTACTTGAAGAGCGAAAGGGATGAAGATGTGAAGGCTATGCACTTTTGTTGCCTGAACGTCCTGTGCGAGGTGATTCCAATGGTGACGGGACACCAACAATTCTCAGTGCTACGACCAACGCCAACTGGACCAGTGGACTTCTTGTACATCGACCCCGTCGGTATTCTGCTGACTCATTCTGATCAGTCAGTCCAGACCATCGGCTTGCTGGTGGACCACAGTGTGCAAATGCCTGCGCATTTCATGGACAGATTGAATAGATCCAAGGCTGAGAGACAGCAAAACCCGACGACCAAGCGTACTGAAGCTCTACACCACATTTCGGCCGCCGACTATCTTCCTCCAGGTGGTACATCCATCCTGGACACGCCTGTCACTACGGAGGAACGTGAAAGCGCTTCGTCATCCAAGGGACCTTCAAAAGGGCGTGGGAGAACCGGAGGTGAGCAACATGGAGGCTGGAACTCCAACTCCTACTACGACTACACCGCCGGTAAAGGCCGAAACAAAGGCAAGGACAAGGGAAAGCATCGGGAAAAGTATCCAGAGGAAAACCTCCGGCCCTGGGACCGCGATCCTGCGACCACGCGAAGATGGAGATGAATCAACGCTTGGTCTTCCTCGCCTATCAGTTCGTGACCTCTGAGCTTCGCCCATGGAATGCCATCGCGAATGCTTCTTTCTTCGGTGACGCCTGATTCGTTTGCCATTTCAGGGGATCGTTACTGACGTAGATGAGTGTCACAACGTTTCTAATTGGGATGCAAAGCTCTGATTTTCAATGTCAACGTTGCGGCGGAACATTTTCTGTTGTCCTATCGTGCCATCTTCCGGGTGAGCAGCGTCGGAGACGCAACTCATGGGGGGTGCGAACGGACTGCGATGCCTTGTCAAGTTCTAAGGTGTCACTATAAGAGCTGTGAGCAAGACCGTGTAAAGTGCAAGAGAAGGGGGCACGCTACGCGTCCCTCGACTCTAGGGGGCATGCTACGCATCCCTCATCTTTACCTTTCTATGTGACCGCCAACGCAACGTTTGGCTCAAGTCAATGCCCATAGCTAAGTGCTATATGTGTCTTCTATCCTGAGCAATCAGAGCTATCCCGTTGCACAGACGAACCGCCGCCGGCAGTGAGTGCAAAAGGAACGGCCGCCGGTTCTGCCTGCATAGGATTGCACGTGTGGAAGTAAGAGGGAGAGACAGGGTCCAGTCTGTGGAGAGTGCTAGCCAGCCACACCTACATTCATTACAGCTCTGGTGGGGAGAGCAGCAACCAAGTCGAGATCAATCCCCCACGCAGTTTAGGGTTTAGGATTTAAGGTTTAGGGTTTAGGGTTTAGGGTTTAGGGTTTCGGGTTTAGGGTTTAGGGTTTAGGGTTTGGCAGAAATTCAACAAGCAAGGACATGACATGTAGGGGCTTTCAATTAGAGTAGGGTTCCGTTTGGAAGGTTTTTAAACAAGGGATCTATAAGGGTTAGGGTTTAGGGTTTAGGGTTTAGGATGCCTTGCCTCGGAGCCGGCAGAAATTCAACAAGCAAGAGCATGAAATCCAGGGGCCTAGAATTAGAATAGGGTTCCGTTTAAAGGGTTCTTAAAAGGGGATCTATAAGGGTTACTACAAAGGGGTAGTAGAGGTGTTTAGTATAGGGGCCTTGTTAAGTAGAATAGGGTTTAGGCGTAGACATATGTTCGTTTCACACACACACACACACACACATATATATATATATATATGCTGTACCATACTTGGTACATTCACATTCATTGCAGTCCATTTGAGATAATTCCCGAAAGTCTCTTTTGCAGTCTTCATTCCCATTTTGAATCTTCCCCATGCCCTAGACCCCTACACCTTGAATCCTGAGCCCTAAACCCTGTACCCCAAACCCGACACCCTAAACCCGGAACAATTTGGAGCTCCAAAAAAACCTGAACCCTAACCCCTGAACCCCGAAAAACCCGAAACCCCTAAACCCTCATCCCGAAATCTTAAGTCCTCTTTCATACCTTGAAGCCATACGCCCGAACCCCAGAACTTTAAACCCTGATCCCTAAACCCTAATCCTTAAAATGCCTTATGCTATTCCCTAAACCCCAGAGCCTTAAACCCTCTACTTGTACCCCCAAATCCCTATACCCTAAACCTGTGCTTGCTTGTGAGGTTCAGGCAGACGCAAATAGAAGTTCAAAAAAAACCTGAGCCTGAAAGCCTATGCTATTCCCTTTAAGGAGCCCTTAGCAAGGAGCCTTACTTATTAACTCAGGCTGCTTCTGCGGAATGCCGCCTTCCGACCGGCTTCCAGAGCTCTGAAGCAGGCGCGACAGCTTTAGGGTTTAGGGTTTAGGGTTTAGGGACTGAGAAGTCTTCGACTAGGTTCCTGAGTAGTACCGTTTCTGGGCGTTCTTCTGGTTGGCTCTTAGGACTTTAACTTTTTGGTTTTCTATATGAACCATAACAAGTAGGCTAAAGTTTTAACTTCTAGGAGGGGTTCCTGAGTAGTACCCTTTTGCCCTTCAAGGGTTTGATATATGGGCTCTAACAAAGGGCCCCCTTTGTGAGACCTTTAAGGGTTCTATATAATAAAAGTACTATGAGGGTTTCTGGGTAGTGCCCTTTTGTCCTGCAAGGGTCCTATATAAGGGCTCCAACAAGGGTCCCCTTTAAGGGTTCTATAGAATAAAGGTACTATAAGGATTTAGGCTCCCCTTGTCACTTTCCGAATATTAGGAAAAGGGTACCCTGAGAAAAAGGCTAGTCGATAAATGAAGGTAGTATAGAGGCCTTAATGATTTTCTACACTGTTTGGGGGGTTCCTTATTATGATTATAGTACAGGTTTCGGAGAAGAGTTTAGGGTTGTACCTGTTCCACAAGCCCTACACCCTCCAGCCTCCTAAAACCGAGAATTCAAGATTCAATTCCTAGATGTTAAACCCTGTCCCTAGACTCTTGAGCCTCTATCCTAAACTTTTTATTCCCGAACCCTTTACCCTAAACCCTAAACTCCAAACTTTTCAGCCGCTTAAAACCGGAGCTTAAAAGGAACACTTGTAGTACCCCTTCAAAAGGAACCCAAAACCCTAAAGACCCCTTAAAGGAACCCGTATAGTCCCCCTTAAAGGGACCCTTATAGTGCCCTTAAAGCCCTCGAGAGCTTAGGAGGAGCAGCTACCTTCAGCCGCCTAAAACCGCGAATCCAAGACCCAGTTCCTAGATCTTAAGCCAAGCCACTCTAAATCCTGAACCCTAAGAAGCCCCTAAACCCCTAAACCCTAAACCCCGAAACCCCTAAACCCTAAAAAAAAAACCTAAACCCTAAACCCCTAAAACCCCTAAACTCCAAACCTAAAATCCCTAAACCCTAAACCCTAAACCCCGAAACCCCTAAACCCCCTAACCCCTAAACTCCAAAACCCGAAAACCCTTAAGCCCTAAACTCCAAGCCCTAAAACCCTAAACAAACCCTAACCCCTAAACCCCCTAAAACCCCTAAACCCTAAACTCCAAAACCCTAAAACCCCTAAACCCTAAACCCTAAAACCCCTAAAACCCTAAACAAACCCTAAAGCAAAAAACCCTTAAAACAAACCTTAGACCCTATTCCTTAAAACCCCTAAAACCCAGAAACCCTAAAACCCCTAAACCCTAAAAAATTTGCCTCAACCCTAAACTCCAAACCCTAAAACCCTAAACAAAGCCTAAACTCCCAAACCTGAAACTTCGGGAGCTCAGGAGGAGCAGCTCGCCCGGGCCTCCCCCTTGGAGCAGGTCTTTGGGCTGCCGGGCTCCACGAGGCGGGTCTCCTTAGGGGGGTTCCTTTAAGGCTACTATACTTAAAGGGTCATGGGATTTATAAGGGTTCCTTAAAGGGATCTATAGGGTTTAGGGTGTAGGGTCTCCTTAGGGGGGTTGCTTTAAGGCTACTATAGGGTTTAGGGTGGTTTACCTGGGTTTGGAGTACCATACTTGAATACTTTTTTTGGTACCCGTTCCTTAACGGAACCATTATGAAATAACAGTCTATACTTTTTTCTCCCTGGTTACTTCAAAGTCAAGTTGAGGTTTTAGGGGTTCTTTTTAGGAGTTCCTTTGAAGGGGTGCTTTAAGAGATCTATAGGGGTTCCTTCAAGGGTTTCTTGAAAGGATCCGTTTAAGGGTTCTGATAAGGGTTCCTTAAAAGGAACCCTAAAAGGCACCCTAAAAAGGAACCTTATGAGTTCCTTAAAGGGAACCCTGAAAAGGAGCCCTTAAAAACCGGACCCTTAAAAACCAGACCCATAAAAGGAACTCCGCTCTGCTTTGTGAGTCCGTGAGGCGCCTGGTCCTCACCGTCTTGGTGCCCCTCGCCTGCAGAGGGAGCGGATCATCGTTTCGCGTTAGTTATTGTTAAGGTTATAAGTTTTCATCACTATATATGTTTATATATATATATATGTTTATATATATATGTATATATATATATTTAAAAAACATGTTGTTAGTATTATTATTATTATTGTTGGTTGTTGTTGTTGTGGTTACTATTATTATTATTATCATTATTATTATTATTATCATTATTATTATTATTATTATTATCATTATTATTATTATTATCATTATTATTATTATTATCATTATTATTATTATTATTATTATTATTATTATTATCATTATTATCATTATTATTATTACTACTATTATTATTATGGTTATTATTATTATTGTTATTCTTGTTCTTGTTTTTTGTTGTCATGATTCTTACCATGATGCCCACTATCAGTTGTATTTGTAGAGGATTCCGATTTCCAGGTTCACGCAGGCACAATGCATTGTGGAGTGGACATCCGGCCGTGCGGGGATTCAGCGGTGGCCAACGGGCTCTGCCCAGGTATCTCCTCGCAGGCACCATCTACTACACGTACATGGGCTTTGAGGACGGAGGTGGAAAGCAGTCTGAGTAAACAATGCACAGCCTGCAAACCGTAAAAGGTTCTTGTCGTCATCTAACGAGGATCAGTTTTCAAAATTACTTTAGGGGCCTAATTTTGGGGGTTCCTGACTATAAACATAGTATAATGGGCTCCAAAACCCTATTCTATTTATTAAGGCCCCTTTATTATGTTGGCCCTCCGGCGAGAGGTGGCCTACAGAGCTCCAATCATCTACGCCAGGAGCTGGAGCGCACGACTCCGGCAGTGGCCCTCTACTTCTGTGTGGAGCTCTGGCCTCAGAAGCAAAAGGTCTGGGGGCTGCGTGCGCACTGTGATCGTCGGTTCGTGATCGTAGTCATCATCATTATCGCCGTTACTGTCATCATCATCATCACCATCATCATCATATCCTCATCATCAACATGAAATATCGTGATCATGGTCATGATGATGATCATCATCACCACCATCATCGTCATCATTGTCAGCATCATGTTCATGATCCTGATCATGATCATCATAGTGTCCGTCGCCATCATCACAACGCATGTATGCATACATGCGCTTGCACGCCCACAAATGGGAGCATGCGAGTCATTGAAAGTTTATACAGGTATTAGCGAGAGTATGTACATGTATGCAGATGTATGCACATGTAGATACATGCATGCACGTACATGTAGGTAAGTATGTATGTACCTATGTATGTGTGATGTTGGGCGGCAAAATGTCGAAACACGAGAACACGGGTCGCTAGTGACATCAACGTGCAACGTGCTGGGTTTTCATAAACCCTGCGGGTGGCTGCCCAGAACTGCCCTGGCTGTTGGCTTCGGAGTCCTGACACCGCGAGGTGCCTTGGCACAGAGCTACGCCCAGAATGAGCTTGGGTTTAGGGTTTAGGGTTGCCTGTACCAGTTTGGGTTTAGGGTTTAGGGCTCCAGTTACGTGATGAGGGGACGCTGACTCCTACTGCGTGCCACGTTTTCTTAGCTCGGCTTTGTCTGGGTTGTTGGCTGCGCAATGCTCACAGCATCCAGAACCAAGTAGCTTCAAGCCCTAATGCAGATGCATCTCCGATGATTCGAAGCTTGTCCTCCCCATTCAGTGGTAGTCAGCGTGTCGGGATAGAACAAATTCGAACCAGCTCAATTGATGCTTCCGGCAACTTTGCAGACTGGAGTCCCGAAGGCCTTTCCCGAGCTAGGGCCCTAAATCCCTGACAGCCTACGCCCCCCCACAGCGAAAACATCAAACTCTAGGCCTGAGCTCACATGAACTTTGGAGCTCGACAGCCATAAGCCCTGAACCCCCCCAAAGCACCGTCCTCTAAAGGCGATAGCTCGCCTTTCTTCACCTCGGCATTTGTCATCAGCGGTGCCGCGCCTGCCGGCTGCATGTTCTGTTCTCCTTCCGATTGCTTGCGATGTGCCCAGACCTGCCAATATCCCTGAATTAAGGAATCTACCTTAAATTTGAGGTTGATCCCTAAAAAGATTGAAGTGCTTGATTACGGGATAGTGGAAGGTCGGTCCATCTAGGCTCCTGCACCCTACGGGAACTATGTCCGTGCGTGCCTACAGCTCCCATGTTCCTCTAAACCCTAAACCCCTAAACCCTGAACCCCTTATCATCCGCAGGACCTGTGCTCAAACCCCAAAGCCGTGATGCCCTCACCTGTGAAATCTTGCACAAACTTTACAGGAGGATCTTGGTTGACATCCTCAAAAAGGCCACGGCGCCCTAATAACGAAAAGCCGTGCAAAGCCTTACAGGCCGCACAAGATGAACACCTGATGACACTCGGACAGCAGTCCCTGCAACAGAGGATTTTGGTAAACTTGCTTCAAATCCCAAAAAACTCTTACCAACGCCGTTGCGAATGCCAGACAACATCTTCACCAAACCTGGATAAAAGTCCTTTGAGACGAAGATCTACACCAACCCTTAGAGGAGCCCTTTTGGGTACAGTAGGGTTCTATGATAGGGTTCCTTCAATGCTTCCTTTAAGGGGGTTCAGGGATCTGTAGAGACTCCTTCAAAGGAGCCCTTAGGCCCTTGCAGCCTGAGGATCTTAGTTAACTTCCTCTCCGGGGTCTTCGCCGACGTGCTCGAAGAGGCCGAGGAGAAGAGGAGGATGCGCGGAAGCGAGGCCAGCCTGGGCAGCTTTTTTGCCACTGTGGGGCGCCTGATCGAGTTCCTTCTTGGAGGATCATGGAACTTAGCAAGTGGGGCTATAAACAAGGTAACTATACTTTCAACTACTTATAAGCCCAATTAAGGTACTTATAAGCTTACTCACTAAGTCCCATGATCCTCCAAGTAGTATAAGTACTGTAAGTGTTAATTGCTACAAGGGTTCCTACAAGGATTACCGTAAAGGGTCTGAGCGGATATCAGGATCTAGGGCCAGGGCAGCGGTGGGCTTGGCATTTCTCAAATCATGAAATAGTGTTATAAGGTCGCAGGGTTTCTTTTAGGGTTCTTTAGGGTAAGTCGTTGTTTTGGGTGGGGGTTTTGCTGTGTGAGGATGAGGGTTGGCAGCCTTTCAGAGCAATGGCAATAATTGCAGGAAGCTTGAATATCCGCAGCTCATAAGCAACTGCGACTGGCAGAGTTCTACAGCTGTATTCTCTGCTTGTTCAAGTCGCGCCGGCGTCGTCGTCGTTGTCGTTTCGTAGTCGCCGTGTGGTCGAGTCGTAGTCGTTGACGTGATGGTGGTGATGCTGGTTTCGATTGTAGGAGATGGAGGTGCCGGACCTATGGTCATAGCCACTTCTGCCTCGGAACCCTTTATACTCCAAATTGCGTCCCGTCTGAGGTTCTCCAAAGGGGTACATCACTCGTATAACTTCAACAAAGACCCCATGAGCACAACCCTGAACCCTAAACCCTAAACCCCTAACCCTAAAACCCCTAAAACCCCCCAAACCCCCCAAACCCTTAAAACCCCTAAAACCCCTAAACCCTGAACCCTAATGCACTACCAACTTCGTTTCCTCACGCAAGGCAGGAGTCCTCATTGGAACTGCTGCGCCTTTGGCGTCCTGGCTTCATAGGCAGATAGCTAAGCCTCAATAAGGGAGCTTCCGAAAATCAGGGACCTCAATATAGTACCCTAAACAGTAGGATCCTTATTATAACTACCCCAAAATAAGGTATCCTCAATTTTCGGAAACTCCCAGATAGTTATATATTGGTTCTAGGCATATAAAGAACGGGGTTTGTGGTATATATTGGCGGGTTCCTTATGAGAATAGCCATACTCTTTGGGGTTCCTTGTTAGAATTACCTATACTATTTGGGGCTTCCTTATCGTAACTCCATAAACCTTAAACCCAGAAAGTATGCTTCCCAGGGCTTTGAAGTAGCGAGGCTTTCATAACTGCGTGGCCCTTCCCGGGTATAAGAAAGCAGAAGATTCGCCGGCAAAGGTTCTCTGGTGGCTGGTGGGCACCTTGGCAAACTATCACCTCCACCCTAAACCCTAAACCTAAACTTCATCAGCCTTACAGTCAGGGGTTAACCTCTAAAACCCTTAAACCCCGAAGACCCCGTAACACCCTAAACCCTAAACCCGATGAATCCTCATGTTCCTTGACAAGAGCCCTGTTCGCAGCGCTGATGAGGTCTTGTCTACGGGCGTGTCCACGAGGGATGGGACTGGGGCGACTCGGCGCGCGTAGAGTCACCCTTTAGGGCTTAGGGTAATCCTCATAGTAACCCCTTAAAGCTACCGAAGTGTAGAGTTTAGGTTTCATAATCGTCATATAGTAACCCCTTAGACGTGCAGGGTGTAGGGTTTAGGTTTCATCATCGTCATAGCACAGGGTTTAGGGTTTAGGGTTCAGCTAACCTACAAAACCTTCAATTCATAGTAATCCTTTGGTGCCCACTTGGAGGCAAGGCGACCCTCTTCGCCATCAGTGCCAGCTCCTCCGTGGGTATCCAGGGCCTGGACTCAAAGGACCGGGAAGGGCTGCTCCTATTCTATTTGTTGTGTGATTATTGTTGTTCTCATAACTACCACTTTTTAGTAGTACGTCTTGCAGTGGCTACATGATTTTTGCTTTTAATGTTTTGCGTGTTCAAGGTTTGAGAACTGAATATTCCTTGATTGAGGGATTTCGTTTTGTATAATAGCGGTCCTGGTAGGGCTTTATACAGGTTCTAGACGGGTTGTAGCGTGTTTGAGAAGGGCTTGCACACAGGCTTTGTGGCATTCGTGGCCGGTGTGAGTTACAAGTCAGGCACCTGTGGTGTGATTCACAGCCCCAAGTAGGGTCTGTATTGGGTCGCACATTTTCTGATGCCGCGACAGTTTTTGCACTGAGCCCATTGTAGAGCAGAAGAGCAGACGGAGTCCGACGCTTTCGCGCGATGAAACTAATATAGAGGCCTTAGTAACTACCTATACTTCCTTAGAAAGACATACACATACATGCCTACATGCATAAGCAAGTCAACATACAAGTAACTGAACAGATAGCTGATTAACTAACTAGCTAACTAACTAGATGGATGACTGACTGACTGCCTGCCTCGCTGGCTGACTGATTGACTGACTGACTGACTGACTACATATGTGCAGATGTATATATATATATATGTAGAAACATATCGATGTATATGTATATTTGTATGTATATGAATATGAATATGAATATGAATATGAATATGAATATGAATATGAACATGTCTATGTCTATGTATATGTAAATGTATATGTATATGTATATGTATATGTATATGTATATGTATATGTATATGTATATGTGTATGTGTGTATATATATATACGCACACACACACACTCAGATACAGACATGTGTACAACCAGGTCGGCAAACCATGCATAGCAAATTCCGGCTGGCTGCGAGGACGATATATCCCTTCTGATGTGCGCGGGCTATCTTCTGGTAGGAGCGGTGCTCTTCGCGTTTTATGTCAGGATGGAGTAGAAGAGTTATTCTTCAGGATCCAAAAGGATTTTCAGCTTGGATTCGCAAGTGTTTCGTGAGCACATCGGCTTGATGCCATGGGCTGCAGACTTTGCACTCGCCGTCCGCTGGCAAGTAGCTATCTTGTTTTGGGCAACTGCGTCGTCTGTCAGATCCATTGCTGTTCCTTTCCGTGCAGCTGCAAGATGGTAAACACGGTCATCATCCTAAACTCTAAAGCCTAAACCCTAATCAAAGTAGGTATTGATAGTAAGAACAATGTGGGGGAGCTATATCCACTCATGTTACTGCAAGGAGTCCGAGCCAATGTATTCACAATCCTACTCAGCAATGCCCTTGAACTTCTGGACGTGACAGCACCGCTGACAGTGCTGCACTTGCAACACTAACCTTCGGCAGTAATTAAGGACGTTGGTAAGAACTACCATATGAATGAAAACAACGATTACGATATTCACGATGACGACGGCACGTAATGTTGCTACCAGGGTCATCACCAGAACCAGTCCTGGTCCGTAGGTCTTGTCGTAGTGGTAGTCGGGGTAGCAGGAGCAGTTGTCATCGTAGTAGTAGCAGTAGCAGTAGCGTAGTGCTAGTGGTAGTGCTAGTGGTAGTGGTGGTAGTTCTATTAGGAGTTGCAGCAGCAGGAGGAGTAGCAGTAGGAGCAGTAAGAGCAGCAGCAGGAGCAGCAACTGCCAGCGATGTTGTTCCCAAAGGTTTCGACGCGTCCCATAATGTAGGCGCCTTAATAATTAGAAAAGGGTTTCCCAAAACCCTATTCTAGTTATTAAGGCTCCTGCATTAGGAGTTCCGCTGTATGCGTCTGTCATCGCGCGCCTATCCATTTTGGTGGCGGACGACATCCTCCAGCGTCGGCAGCACCCAGGCTGAGAGAATCAGTGTCTGAGTAGCCGATGGAGTTTCTTACCTTTGGTTAGTAGGGAATGGAGGAATGGGGTACAATTATAACTACTATTACTACCATTCTTCCATTCCCTACTAACCAAAGGTAAGGTTTTTTCGTATGGCTTGTTGCCTCGATCTGAGCTGTTCGATTGCCAGGGTTAGCACCCGAAGGCAGTCCTGGAGTTTTGGGATTTGTGTGCGACTCCGCCTTCAAACGATTGTTCCCACAACAAGCGGTGGGCCAGTTCATAAACGAAAGTCGCTTCCAGCCTGCAGTGAACGAGAAGCAAGGATTGAAAGGCCTTTGCCGGGGAGTGGAAGCACCTTTTGATCAAGAGAAAATTGTCAGCTTGTTTCGCTTGCTTCTAATTTTACCCTACACCCTAAACCCTAAACCCTCAACCTCTTTTTTTACCCTACACCTTGTCACGTCTCCTACGCCCTCAACTTCTGAAGCCCCAAAGCCTAGGAGCCTGAAATTCTGCAGCCCTGTGCCCTAAACTTCAACTCTAGGACCCTCATCCCTGAACCGACAAAGCAAGAACCTCACTCTCTGGGCCTTATGGGTGTAGGGTTCAGGTTTCTTATGAAGTTTTTCCCCAAGTTTGGTTCAAGCCGAGGCTCCACAACTTTAAGGCTGTATCCCTTAGAAGCTGCCCCCACCCTGTAATAGTGGTATAATAGGAATGTAATAGGGCCCTCATATAATATTAATATAATCCTTATGGTCACTATTACAGGGTGCTCCTAATGTACACCCTCGCAGGTCCTTCATAACCCGAGACCCCTGCTCCCCAAACCCTAGACTCCTATACTCCTAAGGTAAAAGCCAGAAAGTTGGAATATGATTATCCTAGCCCTTCTATGGTAAATTATAGGGTATCCTACCATGAAACCATATTCCAACTTTCTGGAGTTTCCTATAAACTCCTGAACCCTAAACCCGAAACTCTAAGCCGAGGCAGGAGATAAAGAAGCGGGCCATCATGGCGCTGGATGGTTGCGATGAGGAGTGCAGGCTCGATGTCTTCTCCATGCAGCTTTGGCTAGCTTGGAGAGCTTTACGGCTCAATGCGCAGGTGTGACAGTTAGGACTCCCTGAAATCTCAATGTGCTAGAAGAGGCTGTGATATATCCTTATATACCCCCAATAATTCGAGTATGTTAATTAGAGCATATCAGAGTACATCATAGCCTCTTCTAGTACATTGAGACTCGAATGTACTCCAATATACCCCAGTAGGTTCCAGCATACAACGATCCACTACATTGAAGTATCATTTACCTCAGAACCCTAAACCCTGAACCCCTAAACCGTAAACCCTAAACTCCTAAACCCTAAACCCTCAACCCTAAACTCCTAAACCCCTATACCCTAAACCCTAAACTCCTAAACTCCTAAAACCTAAACCCTAAACTCCTAAACCCCAAACCCTCAACATTTACCTCAGAACCCTAAACCCTAAACCCTAAACTCCTACACCCTAAACCCTCAACCCTAAACTCCTAAACCCTAAACCCTCAACCCTAAACTCCTAAACCCTAAACTCAGGGATCTCTCAAGGGATCTATAGGGATTAGGGTTTCCGATATCCCTGAATTAAGGAATAGACCTTGAATAATAGGATCCCTAATGTGAATTAAGGTGTATTCCTTAAATAAGGGATTAAGGGATTTTGGAAGGTCTGGGATCACAGCTGAGGTACGACCTGGACCAAGACGGCTTCATTACCAAGGCAAGATTAGGCTTGGGTTTCTTAGGGTTCCTTAGGGTTTCTTAGGGTTCCTTAGGGTTTCTTGGGGTTCCTTAGGGTTTCTTAGGGTTCCTTAGGGTTTCTTAGGGTTCCTTTGTCAGGGTACCATAAGGGTTCCTTTAAGGGATCTATAGGGTTTAGGGTTTCTTACTTGGAGGCCCTTTTGACTTAGTAAGTAGGATTAGTAAGGTGAATTATGGGGATTATAATAGGGGATTTAGGGGGTACTAAGTAGACTTACTAAGTCAACAGGGCCTCCAAGTACAAGGTTTTGGTAGGGGGTTTGGGGGATTTAGTAGGGCTTATGGGGTTTATGGGGCTTATGGGGTGTATGGGGTTTAGGTTTGCATATGACCCTCAACCAGAAACACTAAACCCAAGAATTTTCGATGGCTTTTGCAGGCAGCAGACGACTTTTGGCAGGAGTACTCCAGGATGTCTCGGGGACTGTCGCATACTATTGGGCTCGGAACCATTTCCAACGGTATTCCTTGCTTCTAATAAAGACTATAGTAGAGTATCACCGAAAATCTGATTGTAATCTTCAAGGCCGCTGAAACATCCTAGAGCTAGAATCCTGAATCAGAGGTTAAACAAGCAGAGGTTTGTTGACTCATGCACGCACGCTTGCTTGAAAAAGCTGGCTGATAACGGATAAGTTTAGGCTTGAGCCCCCCTTGAGAACTGGTCGGTTGAAGCCGCAGAGAGCCTTATGACTCTCATTCCAAACCCTAAGCCTTCAACGAAGCCTTAAGACCCTAACCCCCCGTCTGCTCCAAAACCCAAAAAACACGCCCCTGCGAGGACGACATCCCGGAGTTGCTCAAGTTCCTCTCGGCCTCCCGTGGTCTGGACATCAGCCAGTCTGACATCGCACCCCGACTGCTTAGGGTTTAGGGGTTTTAGGGTTTAGGGTTTAGATTTAGGGGTTTAGGGTTTAGATTTAGGGGTCTAGGGTTTAGATTTAGGGGTTTAGGGTTTAGGGTTTATAATAGGGTGTAGGGTGTAGGATGAAAGTGTTCTCAAGGGTTACCATGAAGGATTCGGGGTTTAGGTTTTGAGGTTTGTCACCCGGTCGTTCAGACGATTTAGGGTCCGAGCCAACTCAGAACACCTCAGGACTTCCTCTTGGAAGAGTTCGACAAAGACGGTACGGGCCAGATCAACCAGCAGGACTTCCTACTTTGCTCGCATGCCCTGAACCCTAAAACCTAAACCCCAAACGGCCCTGAACCACAGACCCTAAGCCAGGAAGTAACCCTTGTAGTAGTCCAACGCTTATGAACAAAAGAAAACAAGAGCAATACCATGCATTATACGTAGATATGATTGCGAGAGGCGCATGAGAACCAGAGCACTCTGCTAACTACATGGATGGAATGTATCTGAAGAGCAAACAGTACGTTCTCTTTTACGCAAGTGCAAAAAGATCAAGAAGGCATGATACAAGCTTCCATACGGTTGAGTTATCGGTCTATTTACCGATCTACTTATGCATGATGCATCGCTCTATGTGTCACCTGAGTTATATCTAGCTTCCATCCCTCCATCCGTCACTCCCTCCAGCTTTCGGGGATCCTTTCTGTGGTGCATGGCCATTAAAGCATGCACGGAGATGAACTGCGGGTAATGTGGGGGCCTTCATAACTAGAACAGGAATTTGGGGCACATTATACCATAGCTCTAATATGGAACCCCAAAATAGTGTAGGCCCTAAACCCCTAACCCCTAGACCCTAAACCCCAAACCCTAAACCCCTAGACCCTAGACCCTAAACCCTAAACCCCTAGACCCTAAACCCTAAACCCTAAACCTCTTTACCATATATATTTAAACCCTAATACCTTCGCGGTTTAAGGCAATTTTGACCCCCCCGACCTTCGGCCATTCGCGGTTTAAGGCAATTTTTGCCTTAGACCCCCGACCTTCAGCCATTCGCGGTTTAAGGCAAGTTGGCCCCCCCGACCTTCGGAAATTCGCGGTTTAAGGCAAGTTTTGCCTTAAACCGCGAACGGCTCAAGGTCGGGGGGGGTCCCCCCGACCTTCGGCAATTCGCGGTTTAAGGCAATTGGCCCCCGACCTTTGGCCATTCGCGGTTTAAGGCAAGGCCCCCCGACCTTCGGCCATTCGCGGTTTAAGGCAATTTTGTCTTAGACCCCCGACCTTCAGCCATTCGCGGTTTAAGGCAAGTTGGCCCCCCCGACCTTCGGCAACTCGCGGTTTAAGGCAAGTTTTGCCACTTGCCAAACTTTCGCTCTGCTATCAACCAGCGAAGCATAGTTACAAACCTAGTTGTTTGGGAGAATCTAAGGTAAGTCTAAGCTCGACAACGTTAAAAAAATAAATCAGCTGTGGAAGCAATATGAACTGTTGTATTTTCCTAGTGGTGTGGGAAGGCGACATTAAAGTGTGACAGGCTAGGTTGTAGGTAGAACTCTTTGAATGATGATGAAGGACTTTATATGGCTTATGTTATGGGATTCTAAGGGTGGGTGGGTGTTATTTCTAAACCGTAAATACAACTCTACTTTAAAACTGCTCGATCCGGAGCTGCTGAACCCTAAACCCTAAACCCTAAACCTCAAACCCTAAAGGCCCTTATTAAACATGCTTCGGATCCCAACTGGGAGCCGTGAGGAATTCCTTGGCGGCTTGAACCAGTGGCAGAACGCCGTCAAAGAGCGCATCTGGGTTTAGGGGTTTAGGGTTTAGGGTTTAGGGGTTTAGGGTTTAGGGTTTAGGCTTTAGGGGGTTTTAGGTTCAGGGTCTCAATTTAATTTGGGATGTTTGCAGTGGACTGGTCGGCGCTTTGTCATTCTTTCGGGCAGTGGCGGAAGCATCTAAGGCATGGCGGACTGATGCCTAGCATTGCGGCTCTGACCCTGGTCTTCACTTTGCACAGGCCCTGCAGGCAAAGCTCTGCAGAGAGCCTTCGGTGCTGGAGCCAGGAGGTGTACGCATTCCCGGTGCGTCCGGGATATGCTGCATCAACTCATGGTTCACAATGGTTGCTGCCCAGAGACTCCAATATCCCTTAATTAAGGAATATACCTTAAATCATATAAGGGATCCTACCATAATTTAAGGAATATTCCTGAATTAAGGGGTATCGGAAACCCTAATCCCTATAGATCCCTTGAGAGATCCCTTTTAAACCCCTTTTTAATTAAGGAATATTCCTGAATTAAGGGATATCGGAAACCCTAATCCCTATAGATCCCTTGAGAGATCCCTTTTAAACCCCTTTTTAATTAAGGAATATTCCTTAATTAAGGGATATCGGAAACCCTAATCCCTATAGATCCCTTGAGAGATCCCTTTTAAACCCCTTTTTAGTTTAAGGAATATTCCTGAATTAAGGGATATTGGAGTCTCTGGGTAATGGTTGCTGTGTTCTCTGCTCTGAGATGGAGCGGAGCGGTTGGGGCGGCAGGTGTCAGGATGCGGCGGTTCTTCAGAACCGTTGAGGGATCTATAAGGTTCCTTTAAGACTACGATACGTACCTTTGGTTAGTAGGGAATTAAAGGGGCCTTGTAAAGGGGTCTATAAGGGTTACTATGAGGGATCTATAGGGGTAGTATGTCTCCTTAGGGGGGTTGCTTTAAGGCTACTGTACTTAAAGGGTCATGGGACTTAGTAGAAAAGGGTTCCTTAAAGGGATCTATAGGGTTTAGGGTGTAGGGTCTCCTTAGGGGGGTTGCTTTAAGGCTACTATAGGGTTTAGGGTGGTTTACCTGGGCTTGGAGTACCATACTTGAATACTTTTCTTTGGTACCTGTTCCTTAAAGGAACCATTATAGATTGTAAACTAAAAGTCTATGCTTTTTTGTCCCTGGTTACTTCAAAGTCCAGCAACTTACACGAGCTTGTCATAGGGAAGCGGACCTACAATCTCGCCACTTGCAGTAGTTGCAAGTAGCATGTGATGCATCCTTTCACAGTAAACTGCCGGCACATGCCCGTCTGTGTCAATGCGTAGCCTGCGTAGCTGGTCATCTGAAAGCCGGCGAAATGCAATGCAATGGCTGCCGCGGGCTATCGGTGCTTTACCAAAGGCTGATGTGATACACAGCAGCAATCTGGTCCAGAAGGTTGCAGTCTGGCGAACACCAGAGAGTCTTCCTGAACGCCTATGTCGAAGCCTATTCTGATCGCGTCTCTAGTGACTCTAATGGTGCAGCTGATGGTGGGCGCGAACTTCCTGAAATAACCTGTGGCCAGCAGCAGCAAAAGTAAAGAAGGTCAATCCAGGAAGGGGTAATTCGGAAGCAGGCATTGGTGTACCGAAACCCTGAACCCAAGCCTTCACCGCTAGACGCCCCGAACTCTTGACCCACTCAGAAAGCCCTTCAAGCCCCAAACATGAGTCTCTTGGCCCTAAACCCTGAACCATGAAAAACCTGAACCACTGAACTCCCAAGCCCACCAACCCCCTAAACCGTATACCCTAAACCTAAACGCCCCACCCATAAGCTCAAACCTCTAAACCCTAAACCTCTGACCCCCTAAACGCTCTGATGGGGCCTTAGAGCCTCTAAGCCCTCCTACTAGATCCCGCTTTCGGATCCCTGAAACCTAAAATTCCCAAACCCTAACCCCTGACGCCAAATCCCTACACACCAAATCCCTGAACCTTCTAGATCCCTTAAAGGGTCCCTTAAAGGAGCCTTCATAGATCCCTAGACCCTAAACCCCAAATCCCCAAATCCCCAAACCCGAAAACCCCAAACCCCTAAACCCTAGAACCACAAACCCCAAGTCCCTAAACCCCCTGACCCCAGATCCCTAAACCCCTAAACCCTAAACCCTTTATGGAACCCTGATAGATCCCTTGAAAGGAACCCTTATGGACCCCTACACCCGAAACCCGAACTCTAAACCTCCCGGTAAGCCCCATGATCCTCCAAGTAGACCCTAAACCCTAAACCCTATAGATCTCTTTAAGGAATCCCTATAGATCCCTTTAAGGAGCCCTTATTAAACCCCAAGTCCCTAAACCCCAAACCCTAAACTCCAAACCCTAAACCCTAAACCCCAAAAAACCCCAAACCCCAAGTCCCTAAACCCCAAATCCCTAAACCTATAGATCCCTTTAAGGAGCCCTGATTAATTCCCAAGTTCCCTAAACCCTGTCATCAGCTCAACCCTACCCCCTAAACCCTAAATCCCCTATATAAACTCCTTAAAACTCTAAACCCCAAGTCCCTATATGAACCCTAAAACCCTAAACCCTAAACCCGAAACCCTCTCATCAGCTCGTGCCAGGCGGCTGCCACGGCCCCGGCCCCCGCTTGGAGATCGACCTCGGGAACTTCACGGCACCTGGACTTGGGAATTAATCAGGGCTCCTTAAAGGGATCTATAGGTTTATATAGGGGTTTAGGGTTTAGGGACTTGGGGTTTGGGGTTTTAGGGTTTAGGGCTTAGGGGGTTTAGGGTTTAGGGTTTAGGGACTTGGAGTTTAGGGTTTAGGGTTTAGGCACCCGGGGTCGCAGACGCGAGCTCCTTTAAAGGGCTCTTGAAAAACATGAGGGGTGGTAGAATGAGCCTTTAAAGGGCTCTTTAAAAAATGAAGGGGTGGTAGAATAAGCTTTTTTCAAGGGCTCTTTAAACAAATAAGGGGTAGACTAAACCGTTTTAAAGGGTTCTTACAAATGATAAGGGGTAGTGTAAGGGTATATATAGTGTAGGGGCCTTAGTACTTAGAATCAGGATAGGGTTTTGGGGTATATTGTACTATAGTAGCAAAAGGAAGTGAGGCATCAAGGCCTTCAGGGTTCCTTTAAGGGTCCATTTTAGAAGGGTTCTGCAATGAGGGCTTGTATCAGCGCTCTATCAAAGGGGCTTTAATGATTACCTATACTATTGTGGGGTTCCTTATCAGAAGTATGATATAATGGGCCCCCAAAGCAATATTCTTCATTAAGGCCCCTTATAGTAGGGTTAGGTATAGTGTACAGGGCATAGGGTGTGAGATTTAGGGTATATTCCAAGAGTTTCGGGTAAAGGGTTTCGGGTTCAGGGTTTGAATTTAGGGCGCTGGTTCAGGGACCACATGTATGTCAGTGCACGTGATGCGTTGCACAGGTCACGTCCTTCATGCGACATCATGCGACCCCACACGCCTTCAACACAGGCATGTATAGATATGTCCATATGTATATATATATATATAGATGTTCTTACAGGTTGGTATGTGTGTACAAAGTGCAGCAGCATAAACAGCTTTTCAATCCCCACAAAACTATAACACCGCTAAGCACACACACACACAGACACACACCACTCACACCCTCGCAATAACCGAATTACAGGCACAACATCTCTGGACGCAGCAGGCGGATCAACAGCCCAAGCCTGGTTTGAAGAACAGAGCACATGTAGCTAGGCTTGTTCTTTTGTGTCCACCTCTCTTCGGCTTAGCATCTGCCATGCTGCGGATTCAGACCGTGTCGGGTGAAGACGTCGTTGCCCTTGACTTGGCGAGCTTCCTTGAGACGCAGCCTGCCGGCATGCATCCCGTCCGGGCACTGAAGCAACACTTGCACAGCATCTGTGGTGTGTCAAGGTTCAGACAAAGGCTGTTATTCCTGGAGGACAAGGTGGTTCTAGATGACGATGGCACCCTGAGACCTGGCGAAGCTCAGGTCGTACTTCTAATCTTCTGCCCAGCATCGGACCCGCAAGTGACAGCACTTCGGGATGCAGCTAGAATTGGCCTGTCAGCAGAAGTGGAGGCCTTTCTACAAAGGCCGCAAGACCCAGATTTGGGCGATCCGGCCCCTCTGTTCGAGGCGTCCAAGCACGGCCACACAGAGGTGGCACGCCTTTTGCTGGAGGCCAATGCGGACAAGGACAAGGCCTTGCAAGATGGCATCGCCCCATTGCACGTGGCAGTTTTACGTGGGCACTTGGAGGTAGCACGCCTTTTGCTGGAGGCCAATGCGGACAAGGACAAGGCCACGCAGGACGGCGCCACCCCGTTGTTCATTGCAGCTCACCGGGGGCAGCTGGAGGTCGCACGCCTTTTGCTGGAGAGCAATGTGGACAAGGACAAGGCCATGCAGGACGGCGCCACCCCTTTGTTCATTGCGGCTCAGGACGGGCATCTGGAGGTTGCGCGCCTTTTGCTGGAGAGCAATGCAAACAAGGACAAGGCCACGCAGGATGGCGACACCCCGTTGTTCGTTGCAGCTCAGGAGGGGCATCTGGAGGTTGCGCGCCTTTTGCTGGAGAGCAATGCAGACAAGGACAAGGCCACGCAGGATGGCGACACCCCGTTGTTCGTTGCGGCTCACGTGGGGCGGCTGGAGGTTGCACGCCTTTTGCTGGAGAGCAATGCAGACAAGGACAAGGCCACGCAGGATGGCACCGCCCCGTTGTTCATTGCGGCTCAGGACGGGCATCTGGAGGTTGCGCGCCTTTTGCTGGAGAGCAATGCAGACACGGACAAGGCCACGCAGGACGGCGCCACCCCGTTGTTCGTTGCAGCTCAGGAGGGGCGGCTGGAGGTTGCGCGCCTTTTGCTGGAGAGCAATGCAGACAAGGACAAGGCCACGCAGGATGGCGCCACCCCTTTGTTCATTGCAGCTGAGAACGGGCATCTGGAGGTTGCACGCCTTTTGCTGGAGAGCAATGCAGACAAGGACAAGCCCACGCAGGATGGAGCCACCCCGTTGTTCGTTGCAGCTGAGAACGGGCATCTGGAGGTTGCACGCCTTTTGCACGAGTCTAGCACGGACAAGAAGAAAAGAAGAACGTATCGGTGATGCGGCGCAGCAGTCGGAGTTTGTGAGTCCTTTGCTGGACAGGTGCAAGGTCTTCGGTGCTGATGCCACCCTTTGGCCATGCGTCTGGGCACAGTGAGAGGTTGCCCGCTCTGCTGGAGGCAACCACTATTTCGCGCATTGCCTGTGCTGCTCCAAAAACCGGCTGTCGCGAAGCAACCCCTTGCAAACCCCTTGTATCACCATCAGACCATGATGAACATTGATAAACCCCCTAGCCAACATCCTAAACAGGAAGGTAACGAGCCTTGGGGAACCCAAAGCCCTTAGACCAACCCCCGGCTCTGGAGGTATGCTTGGTATGCGTGAGTTCGAACTCTAAGGACGTTTCAGTTCGTGCCTCTTTTGGGAGGTGCTAAACCTCCACATACCCCCAAACCCCAAACCCCGAACCTCAAACCCTATAAAGCCTAAGTCCAAAACCCTTAAACTTCGGAACCCCTTTACAGGAACCTGCAAACCCGCAAATGTTTCCAGAAACCCAACAAAACCCCAAAGCTGTCCTCTGGGTAGTTACAGGTTATCCTGGACCCTTCAGACATCGCTCGCCTGGAGTTCATCGAGGGCGCCAAGCTCAGGAAAGAGACAGACTAGGATGCCCAGTCGTACCCTTATTCCCTTTTTGTAGTCATGGGTTCCTTATAAAGTTACCCAATACCAAAAAGAGAGGCCTTTTTATTCTTAGGTTACTGGGTATCCTAGCAGATTCGTTTGTGTTGTTTGAACGCTAAGGGTTCATAGGGCTTTGACGCGCTTTACCGGCGTGGTATCCTTTTCTACGGAATCCTTTCTTTGGGGGGTCTCTACCAGGGTCTGTTACTTTCTGATCCTTCATATGCTTTTATGGCCCAAAGTTAGGATTTACAAAGCCGTAGACGCGTCAAGGTACCTATGAATAGAGACCCTTGATCGATAGACCCACTTTTTGCTTAGGGTTTAGGGTTTAGGGTTTAGGTGCAAGGGTCTTAGGATTAAATTCCGATCCCTGCTCTCGTCTCAAGTAAGGGGAGCGGGGGCTTGTGATTTCCTGGGTCTCGATTGTCCCCCAAGATCCTATGCTTGGAGCCTCAGCCCTGAACGCTAGATCCTACTTGGAGGCCCTTTTGACTTAGTAAGTAGGGTTAGTAAGGTGGGTTATGGGGATTATAATAGGGTTTCTGGGGGATACTAAGTAGACTTACTAAGTCAAAAGGGCCTCCAAGTGTAAATAGAGAGAGCGAAAGTTAGACTCGGGCCGAGTTTATGAACAATGGATCAAGGAAAGTCAAGCTGTCGACCTCACAGGGACGTGCAGCGGCAGCTGAAAGCACACAAGCAAAGAGCGGATGACCGAAAGATTAAGAGAGAGGGGGGACGAACGAGATGACTACTATTTGCTTAAGAACCCCCCCAAAAAAATAAAAAAAATAATAATCCCTATATTATCCCTATAAGGAATATATTTTTTTATTTTTTGGGGGTTCTTAAGCAAATAGTAGATGATGAACAGCATGCTTGACATGGAGCGAGGAATAGTGAACGACATAACGAAGGAAGTAAACACACGGGTGCACCGTAGCCTGGTCTACTATACAACATCATTTACGAGATGCTGCAGTCACGGTAGTAGTTCTTAACATACGTAGATGGAATCTGTGATGATAGGTTTCTAATTTTCATGATCCTCCCTGGTGAACCTGGGTGCACAGAGAGACACCGTGACAGTTTCAAAGGTTTTTTGGTTTAGGCAGGGAGAATTTAATGCTACAAGGGGGCGCTTCCAAGCGCAACGTTCCAACATCGCTCATGCTGCCAGCGCTAAGCACTAAACCTCAAACCGATAAAGCCGCTAGGCCTCACCCCTAAACTTAAAATCCCAACCCCTACCTTAATCCCAAATAACCTACCTTTCTAAGGACTTATTTATAGAGAAATCATTGTAGGAAGGTAGGTTCCTTAGGGTCCAGGTAAACCCTGGATCCTAGCCAGGTCAAGCCGAGACTGACGAGACGCAAGCCGCGCTTCCGGAAGGGTCAGAGGTGGGCTCGAGGGGGGGGGGGATTTATGTGCGGGTACTACACGGGGTTGTCCTTGGGGTTCTTTCTTTATTTGTCTTACTATTTCGGAGAGAACCATAATAGTAAATAATTTTCAAAGGGCTTAAAGGACAACTCAGTACAGGGGTTCGATATGGGCTTTAGGGTGTAAAGGCTTTGGGGGCTTCAGGTAAGGTTTGCGGTTTAGGGCTTGAGGGGGATGCGGTTTAAGTTTAAGTGCTTGGCATAAGCATCTGCATGATAAGTAATGATGTCCGCATAGATTCCCTAGCATGCTAATGGGGTGGTTGTCAAAATTGCGGTCCCTTTTTGGGTCCTTAATCTAATACGGCACCTATTATTTAGGGTACCCAAAAAGGAACCCTAATTTTGACAACCACCCACTGGACTTCGCCTCAAAGCTTTATGAAGAGGAGCGTGAAGTTCAGGATATAGGGGTATAGGGGTTCAAACTGTAGGTTTGTGCTGCGGCGGTTTAGGGTTTAGGGTTTAGGGTTGCAGGATCTGTATAAGAGCATATAGATTGTAAAACGCAAAAACGACTGTGGTCGTAAACAGTTCGCAATGTGTCCTGATCCTTTAGGTAGGGTTTGGGTCGGCGGTTGAGGCATCTACCCAGGCATTCCAATGTCCCTGAATTAAGGGGGTACCTTAAATCATAGATGGAACCCTAACATCGCTAAGGTATATTCTTTAGTGTAGGGATATTGGAAGGTCTAGGTATGAGGGTGTGTGGCAAACCCGGTGCCCACCAGAAGACTTCACGCAGGTGGGCAACACCAGCAGTGACAACATGCTGCTGTCTGCAGGCCAGGCATCACCCAGGGATTCGGACCTGAAGGTCGGCAGCAAGAAGTTTTCGGTGTAGTAGAGTTCGCAGTCACAACAGCCGTAACAAGCATATGAAACATGGCCATCTTTGTAATCCCATTGCCATTGACATTAAAAAAACTAGTATGGCACGAACGGCCACAAGAATCACTTCAACAAAGACGCAGAGATCTCACCTAACTAACGATCGAGATGGTCGTGGCAAGCATCATCGTCGTAGCTATCAAACAAGACTATTACAAGTCCCACACAACTATCGAGTTCTCGTACCCCCAAGTCCTCCCCCAAAGCCCTGAACCACGCACCCTAAACCTTTGTACTCTAAATTTTTGAATCCCACAAATCCCCGAAACTACGTACCCTCAACCCAAGTACCTTAAACTTCTAAACCCCCAAAGCCCTAATCCCAGAAACCTTAAAGCCCAAAACCCTTCAAACTGTTTTGAATCCCTAAAGCCCGAAGGACTACACCCGTAAAGCCCAAAACCCCTACTATAGGGGCCTTAGTAATTACCTATACTATTTTTGGTTTAAAGGATCCCTTTAGAGGAATCCCTATTCAAAACATTTAAGGCCCCTACGTTGGAAGCTCGCGGTGCAGGTGCTTCGCAGTCTTCGGCAGAGCCCGATGCCGAAGCCCCCAGCTGCGTGGAGCCCTCGGAACTCCAGTTGGTTTAGGGTTTCGGAAGAGGACGCTGTGGGAACCTATGGTTTTGTAGTTTTCGGTATCGGTTGCATGGTTTTCGGAAGTCTCACGGCGTTCCCTTCGGTAGCATATAATAGTTAGCTTGCAATAGACATGGAATTCAAGATTTCCCGAAAAACTTTCTAGAGGTATCTTGGATCTTGGATTCCGGGGGGGGGGGCTATTGAGGTTCAATCGCCGATATTTAACCTCAATAGCCCCCCCCCCCGGAATCCAAGATCCAAGATGCCCCTAGAAAGTTTTTCGGGGAATCTTGGATTCCATGGTTAGGGTTTATTGAGGTTCAATAGCCGATATTTAACCTCAATAGCCCTCCCCCCGGAATCCAAGATTGTCTGAAAAACTTTCTGGGGACATCTTGGATCTTGGATTCCGGGGGGGGGGGGGGGCTATTGAGGTTAAATATCGGCTATTGAACCTCAATAGACCCCAGCTGCATTCTGTAGGGTATTGCAGATGGTATTCTGTAAGGTACATCGGGGGTATATAGGGTGCATTGTACAAGGTATTCTACACGGTATTCCATGTAGGTGGTATTCTAGAACGTATTTTATAAGGTACTCTACAGGCGCCATAGGGTATTCAATAAGGTATGTCTGAGGTATATGGTGGGGTCTTTTATGAGGTATTTTGCAGTGTATTCTATATGAAATTCTCTAGGGTCTGTAAAGAAAGGGTGTGTTCTATATGGTACTTTAGGATTATGATGCTATTCCTCCAGGTTCCTGGTTTCCTTCATAGTTACTCAATTATAAGCTCCAATAATAAGCTCCAGTTCAACTAGGGGAATTCTCAGCTCTTGGACTCCTTTCGATTTTCACTATTTGACTGCTCTATCCTTACGGCGTTCTATAGGTATCCCATAGGGTACTCGAAATGGTATCGGATAGGGTAATAATATCATATCATGGCAATATATATATATATATATATATATGTATGTATGTATGGGGTATGCGTTTTGCATTCTATAAAGTGTTCTGTGAGCGTTCTATCGGGTACTATATAGGGATTTTCTTAGGATTCTATTCTTTAGGTATTCTTTAGGCTATGATATGTGTATATAATATATATATATATATATATATATATACGGGTATGATAGGTATTCTTAGGCGATAGCGGGTAGCATATTCAATCAAGTGTGCGTTTATATATACATGTGTATGAGGTATCTAGGGCGGATTCTACAGCGTATTCTGCAGGATATTCTTTATGAAATTCATTAAGGCATATAAGGGTGTGTTCTGTAAAGCATTCTATAGGGTATTCGCCTGAGTTCCTGACTTCCTACAGAAAACCTCTACTCAATAAGCTACAGTGTAGATGGTGAGGGCGAGATCTTATGCTCCTCCTGGTTGTCCTTATATAAATCCTCATAGGTTTTCGATACGGTATGCTACAGGGTTTATGAAAGATATACAGGGGGTATCTTGCATGTAGATGATATTCCATGAGGTATTCTGCAGGCTATTGCAGATGTCTTTGTAAGGTGTATATATATATATATATGTATATACACATACATATCGGGTACATTGCGCGTACTATGCAGAGTATTCTATAAGGTATTCTATTATAGGTATATTGTAAGGTATTGTATAAGGCATTGTAGAGGGCGTTCTATAGGGTATGTAAAGGGTGTTCTGAATGGTATATATGATTCAATGTAGGTGGTATTGTAGAGGGAATCCTATAAGGAGTTCTAAAAGCTACAGGGTGTTCATTAGGATATATGCAAGGTATATAATGGATATTCTGTAGGATGTGTTGAAATTCTTTCAGGCATATAGAGTGCAATGATGCGTCGCAACTTGGAGGGCTTGAGGGTCTTCCGGTTTTGGTTTGATAATTCTATGTTTGCTTTTCCTTGGTACGTCGTTCCCGACCACTACAAACCTTGAAAACGATAGGTTCCCACAACGTCCTCCTCCCCGGAAGAGGTTTTAGCAGGTTTAGGGTTCCTTTTAAAGGGGTTCGGGGTTTAGGGTTCCTTTAAAGGGCACTATAAGGGTTCCTTTAAGGGATCTGTAGGGTTTAGGGTTTGGGATCAGGGTCCCTTTGAAGGGGTTTGTGTTTAGGGTTCCTTTAAAGTAAGGGGGGGTTTTCGGTGATTCAGAGGGGTCTTAGGGGCTTTGGGGGCTTTAGGGGTTTGGGTGTTAGAGCAACACTTGGAGGCCCTTTTGACTTAGTAAGTAGGGTTAGTAAGGTGGGTTATGGGGATTATAAGGGATACTAAGTAGACTTACTAAGGCAAAAGGGCCTCCAAGCAAAGTCTCTCTCTCTCTCTCTCTCTCTTTCTCCCTCTCCCTCTCTCTCTCTTGCTGTCGCTTTGTATTTATCTATCTATCCATCATACACATGCACACAGTGCCCCTGTGCACAAGCGCATGCAAACACATATTCATATAGTAATCATGTGTGTACATGTGTGTACGTATGTTGTACGTAAGTTTGTATGTACGTACGTTCGCCTGCACGTACGTAGGTATGCATGCATGCACGTGACTTGGTGAAGAGGTGCCCCTAAACACAAAACCCTCAAGCCCTTGACTTGGGTGACGGGGTGCCCGTAAACTGCCCTAAACCCCGAACCCTAAACTCTAAACCCCTAACTAAACCCTAAACCCCTAAGCCCAAAGTCCTAGACACTATGACTTGGGTGAAGAGGTGCCCCTAAACCCAAAACCACCAAAACCCCTGGACCCCAACAGCCTAAATCCTATAGAGGCCTTAAGCGAACCCTTAAAGGTACCTTTAAAGGAACCCCAAACCCTCAAAGAGGTGCCCCTGAACCCCAAACCCCTAAACCTAAACCCTAACCCCCTAAACCCAAAACCCCTGAACCCCTAAACCCCTAAACCCTAAACCCCTAAACCCGAGGTGCCCTCATAGAATTGTTGAAAGGAACCCCAAGAACGCAATAAGGTGCCCATGCTTCAACCCTCAACTCTAAACCTGAAACCTCAACTGCCCGGCGGCAAAAGGCGTTAAAACAAAAAGAAGCCCTAAACCCTAAACCCCAAAACCCCTAACCCCTACACCCTAAACCCCTGAACCCCTAAACCCCACGAACCCCCATGCGTAAACCCATAAACCCCCAAAGGTGCCCTTAAAGGAACCCTTAAAGCTGCCCTCCCTAAACCCCCTACTTGGAGGCCCTTTTGACTTAGTAAGTCTACTTAGTATCCCCTAGAAACCCCATTATAATCCCTATAATCCACCTTACTAACCCTACTTACTAAGTCAAAAGGGCCTCCAAGTAGAGGTGCCCATGCTCATGCACATCGACCTGCCGGAGCCGCTTCACCCGAAGACGCTGATCCTCGGCGAGCCGGTGCTCCAGAGGCCGGGGTTTCAGGGTCCCTTTAAAGGGTACTATAGGGTTAGGGTTTGGGATTTAGAAGGGTCAGGAGTTATGGTCAGAGGCCGGATCTAGGATCCCTTTGAAGGGGTTGGGGGTTTTAGTGTTCCTTTTAGGGATCTATAGGGTTTGGGGTTCCTTTACAGGGTACTAGAAGGGTTTAGGGTTTAGGGGGTTAAGGTTTAGGGGTTTAGGGTCCCTTTAAAGGGGTGGGGGTTGGGGTTCCTTTGAGGGATCTAGATGGTTTAGGGTTTAAGGGGTTGGGCGCTTGGGCTTAGGGTTTGGGGGTTGGGTTTAGGGTTAATTGCGGTAGCCTTATATTGCAACATAGTAACCTTAGAAAGCTTCTACACACTCATCATACAAAAAACCCGAATACAAGCCCGACAGGATAAGGGACTGCTTTTTCCTCCCTTCGGGCAGGTATCACCCTAAAACTTTCAAACCACTAAACCAGTAAAGCCCTAAACCCTCAAACCCTGAACCCCTAAACCCGTAAACCTAAACCCTCAACCCCTAAACCCTAACCCCTACCCAGAGAGCCCAATACCCCTTAATATTGGAATATAGCTTAAACCATAATATGAAGCCCCTTATTATTTAAGCCATATTCCTTAATTAAGGGGTATTGGGCTCTAGGGGGGGGGGGAAACCCCGTAAGGCTGCAAGCCCTTCCGGCAGGTACTACACCGTCTTCGACGCCCGGGCCCCCAAGGTCGGCTTCGCCGCCGCGCGCCATGCGCTCGCCAGGGCCTCGGCTGTCCGGTTTTCTCCTTGGTTCTTAGTACTTGGAGGGTCGGGGGACTTAGTAAGTAGGTAGTAAGTGGACTTATAAGTACCCTAAAAGGGACCCTAATTGGGGTTATGGTACTTATAAGTCCCGAAAATAACCAGTTACTAAGTCCCCCGACCCTCCAAGTAGGGTTTAGGGGTTAGGGTAGGGATTAGGGTTCAGCGTAGGGTTGAGGGTCGGTTTAAGGTTTAGGGTTCAGGGTTCAGGGTTGACAGTTTTTTCTGGTTCTTGGTAGGGGTTGGGTTCTAGGGATTACTACGGTTGATGATATAAATCCTGCATTACCTTAATGGCCTTAAACTATGGGAATTATGGTACATTCTTTACTATGGGTAATGCAGGATTTATATCATCAACCGTACAGAGGGACTATCACAGGGATCCGTTCTCCCATTCGCTACGAAGAAGCAAGGAGATTTCGCTGAGCTGCGGAAGGGGTTTTGTCAAGCCGTGTAAGCATAATGTAAGCGTGCAGAGGGGTCTCCGAGTTTTTTACGTAAGGGTTCTAAAGAAGCTTCATGAGGGTGTGTTCGAACAGCTCTTATCGGTTTCATAAGGGTATTACAAGGATTTGTGTAAGGGTTTGTTAGTTTTAGTAGGGTTCTATATGGTTTTAAATGTAATGTAATCAGCATCCTGCTATGTGTTCCAAGTTCCCGCTCAGACTTCAGTGTTGGGTTTTGTGCATGACTTTGGTCATGACTACTACGACGCTTCATATGATTATGTGATCATTTCATGAAGACTTCGACTATCGCCGTGAATACAACTACTGCTACGACTTTGACCCTTTGTTTCTGGCTATGATTCTGACAATGACTATTGCTGTTACAGTGACTGTCGCCATCGCGATTACTACTAAGTACTAATGCTATACTGTTTCTATAGTACGATTGCTAATACCATTTCTATTACTACTATTGCTGTGATTGGTAGAAATGTGATTCTGATGGGTGTTACTGGTAGCTGTGAACCAGGATGACTGTCGGTGATTGTGATCTTAATGTTGGGTTCCAGGTCCATCGTTGGGACCGCTTCTTGATGCTAAATAATATCTGGTACATATTGCGTAATCTTCTTGAGGTGCTGTTATTGTTGTTTTGGTTTTTGTGTTGTCGTCAGAACTACGAACGGATGTTCAGTCTTTGTTGAGTCCTGCTCCTCTTGCCGCTCTTTTGCTCCCGCGCTCACTCGCTCTCTTTCTCTTTCTCTTTATCTCGCGCTCTCTCTCTCTCTCTCTCTGTCCCACGCTCTTGCCCCCACCCGATATTTAGAGCCGGCGACCTTGCTTACTTGCTTACTTGTTCGCACCAAAGCCGGCCAGGAGGCGGAGGTGCCGTAGTTGGCACGCCGTGAAGGTGAAAGCGCACTTGGAGGCCCTTTTGACTTTGTAAGTAGGGTTAGTAAGCTGGGTTATGGGGATTATAATAGGGTTTCTAGGGGATACTCAGTAGACTTACTAAGTCAAAAGGGCCTCCAAGCACACAGCTGAGAGAGCCGTTGAAGAAGTGCATCTTCTTGACGCGTGGCTGGCATCCTGTTATCCGCCCGGCTCAGCGAATGTGAAACGATGGCTTGCGAAGCACGGCGGCACATTTAGTAAACCGTTCTGCATTGTACAGTGCTTGTCATCGGGGCGTGAAGTGAGGAGGAACAGCGCAAATCCGAAGACAGCTGCGAACACATGCGCTGTCGCCCCTATGACACCTTCAAATTCTCGTTGACCCGACAAGACGGATGTCTTGCCGCGCCGACACTGGGAACTTCTCTTGGCAGGCGAGTTCCCCATGGGTTTTTTTGCCTACAGAATTCGAGTGCATTCGTCCATTTCCTGGCCTCGAGACGAGGTTTGTTTCTGTCGCCCCCTTGGTCCAAGCAATCAGGCGCGACTAGGCTCTCATCGAGAAGCCATGCTTGGACCTAGCCGTCCGGAACCCTCCATACGACCTTTCACAAGGACGGTCGCTCTCGCATACAATGCCCTTTGATCCTAAAGCGCTTGAGCTAAACCCTACAAGGCCACTTCTGGCCGGGTTTGAGCACGAGAGCGGCCTTCCGTTTATGGCGACTGCGGAAAAGGAGTTGGTTTAGGGAGCCTTTCAGCAGCCAAGGGTGTGGTAGCGTCTTAGAAATTCTGGTTTATCGGGCATTAAGATGCTTTTGGGTTTCTGCGGTCTACTTAGATTATCAGCGAACTTGGAGAGTGGATGGTGGGTAAGATCATAAGGGGGGTTAGGGTCAGGGGCTTACAGGCGGTCGTACAAAAACCTGAGCATCAAAGGAGACGCACTTCTCTCCTAAGACAGCATCCATACCCTAAACCCTAAACCCTAAAATCCCAAAACCCTAAACCCCCCAAAAAAACCCTAACCCATCCATGAGAAGACTCCCTCAAGCACAGCCCCGAAGCCGAAAGCCTGAAACAACTGGGCGGTGATCCCTTGGTGCAACATGTCCTACTTGGGGGCCCTTTTGACTTAGTAAGTCTACTTAGTATCCCCTAGAAACCCTATTATAATCCCCATAACCCAGCTTACTAACCCTACTTACTAAGTCAAAAGGGCCTCCAAGTAAGCCCCTGATCCTCAAAGCCCACTCAGGGGATCCCGGAGCTCTGCAAGTACGGTAGCTTTAGGCTTAAGTAGGATAGGTTAGGGTTTAGGGTTTAGGGTTTAGGGTTTAGGGGTTTAGGGGTTTAGGGGTTTAGGGTTTAGGGTTTAGGGTTTAGGGGTTTAGGGTTTAGGGTTTAGGGTGCACCGGCCATAAGCTATAAGCTATTTGGCCAGGAAAAGGGCTGACAAGAGCATGCTTTAAAGCCTTGAGTCCCAAAGCACCTAAACACGAAAGGCACCCTAAACCCGAAACCTTGAGCAGCAAGTACTCAGACCCCGAAACCCTCAGACCTAAAGCCTAACACCCCAAACCCCCAACAAATTCCCAACACACTGATTGGAAAGCCGTGCAGTCACCCTTATAGTAAGCGTCTAGAGAACACCCGATAGAACTTCCAGTAACCGTTATACTAAACCCCAAAACGCCTGTAGTTCCTTGTGTAGACAGCTTTTTTTGTGATCTGTATCGCTTCAGCAACCTTCTGGTAAACCTCCAAAACCCACTCAGAAACTATTGTTAGGAACCCCTACTAGAAAGCCTTATGATAATTCGCATACTAAACCTAAACCCTAAAGCCACATCGGTTGCTACAACAGAGCATCGGGTAGCCATGGCTGGCGGCTCTCCGATCGACCGGCGCTGGCCGCGGCAGGCAAACCTCCAGGGTCAACTCTCTAAACCGTAAGCCCCTGCAGTAACTCTAAACAAAGAATCCCTGAACTCCGACGTCCTCAGCCCTAAACCCTAAACCGCTAAACCCCTAAACCCCAAAGCCCCTAAACCCCTAAACCCGAAACCCTAAACCCCAACCCCTCAACCCTAAGCCGTAAACCCTCAACCCCTAAACCATAAACCTGAAAGAACCCCAGAACACTCGAGCCCTCGAAGTTTTGCTTCGCAGGTCGCGCCGGACCTCGAGCGCGAAGTGCTTCGGCTACAGTAGCTGCTTGCAGGCTAAGGACTTTGGCCTTGGAGCTTAGGGGTTTAGGAGTTTAGGGTTTAGGGGTTTAGGGTTGAGGGCTGAGGACTTAACTTTGGCCTTAGAGTTTAGGGTCTCTTTCTTTCGAGCTACTGTAGGGGTTTGATGGTTTAAGGTTTGGGGTTTAGCAGTTTAGGGTTCGTCTATGGCTTGGGGGTTTAGGGTTTAGGGGCGGTTTAGGGTTTGGGGTCTTTGGTTTAGGGTTTAGTTCTGGTGCTCCAAGGCTTAGAGTTAGTGCTTTGACAAGTCACTGTTTCTGGAGTTTTAGGTTTAGCTGTCTTGTTTCTAGGGTTCAAGGGTTTGTTTGTTTCTAGGGTTGAGGGTTTGGCAAGTTGGGCTTCCATGGTTAGGGTCCTAGGGTGTTGGTAAGTGGTGACGCTTTGGGGCTCAGGGTTACAAGGAACCATAGGTAGAGTTGCGGTGTCTGTGGCTTAACTACTCAGAAGTTTCAGGCAGTGCCCTAAACCTTAGAAGGGGCCCCCACCCTGTAATAGTGACTATAAGGATTATATTAGGGCCCTATTATATTGCTTTTATACGACTACAGCAGGGTGGGGGCCCCTTCTAACCTAGGATCATGGGACTTAGTAAGTGGGGTTATAAATAAGGCAACTATACTTTTAACTACTTATAACCCCAATTAAGGTACTTCTAACCTTACTTACTAAGTCCCCTGGTCCTCCAAGTAAACCCCAACAAACCCCAAAGCCCAGTGGGGCCCTCGGAAATGTGACCTTCCTCCGTTCGCGGAGGCCTCGCGACTCCTGCGCTGGGCCCAAGAGGAGCCCAGAAGCTTCACCAGCCCTTCAATTAGGATGTCCTTAAGGGGGGGTGGTCCAAGGGGGGTAAGTAACCTAGTAATCCCCATTATTCCCCAATACTCCCTAAGCTTCCCTAAGGTTCCCCAAAGCTCCCTAGTACCCTCCCCCCTTGAACCACCCCCCCTTAAGGATCCTATAATTCAATGAAGAAAGCGTAAATTAAAGGGGCCTGGGGGCCTTAAATATGTTTAGTTTAGGGTATATTCCTGAGTTCCTTAAATTATAAGGGCCTTAATATGTATAGTTTAAGGTATATTCCTCAGTTCCTTAAATTATAGGGGCCTTAGTATGTACAGGTATATGCGTCAGTTCCTTGAATTACAGGGTCCTTAACATGTATAGTTTAAGGTACCCTTGAAGGAATCCTGAACAGAACCTCTTGGAGTGCCGCGCTGAAGCGCAGGAGGCCTGGGGAAGCGGCCAGGAGGCGAGCCGAGGCCAGCGAAATCTCGTTCTAAGACTTTTTCTAACCCTAACCCCCCTTATAGATCCCCTTCCCTTAAGGCTCGCATAACCCTAAACCCTAAATCCTAAACCCTAACTGCAGGCCTGGCCAGCCTTGTCCTTTTACATGGTTCTCCCCAAAAAAATAAACAGACCGGCTAATAGACTTTTTTCAATAATTCCTATTCAGGGATATAGGTATAGGGCTCTGTCTATTGTTTCTAGAAGGACAAGGGCGTTCTACGCAGGGTGTTAGGGGTCAGGGTTCCCTTTAAAAGGGTTTGGGTTTTAGGGTTCCTTTGAGGGGTACCTATAAGGGTTCCTTTAAGGGATCTGTAGGGTTTAGGGTTTTAGGGTTTAGCGTTGTTTTTTCTGTAGGGTGTAGTGTTTCAGGGTCTAGCATTGTTCTTTTTTGTGGGGTCTGTTTTTTTTGGCGGTTTTGCCTTTGGGGTTCTAGGCTTCGAAGCTGAAAGGTTTGCAATTAAAGTGGATGCGGGGGTAAGCAGAAGGCGACTCGGCCTTCAGGGCTCTATAGTTTTGCAGTGTATTTTGTAAGGTTTCTTCACTGCAAGGTTTTTGAGGTCTGTTAAGGGTTTATAGTTCGGCAGTTTTTTTTTGTAGGAGCTAACCCCCAAACCCGACACCCCTCGGATCCCCTTCCCGTAAGGATCGCATAAACTGGCCAAAGAGCCCTTTGTCCTTTAATTAAGGAATACTTGGAGGATCATGGGACTTAGTAAGTGGGGTTATGAACAAGGTAACTATACTTCTAAGTACTTATATCCCCAATTAGGGCACTTACAACCCTACTTACTAAGTCCCATGATCCTCCAAGTAGAGCACTGCAGAATCCCCGGACTATGTCCCTTAATTGAGGAATATAGCTTAAATCATAATATGAAGCCCCTTCTAATTTAAGCCATATTCCATAATTAAGGGGTATCGGAAACCCTAATCCCTATAGATCCCTTTAAGTTAAGGAATATAGTTTAAATCATAATATGGAGACCCCATGGAGCTCTGTGTACGGGATTCGAGTCAGCCAGCAGTTGTGGTTAGAGTTTGAGAAGATGCAGAGTTAGCATTCTTATTTTCGGAGGCTGTGGTGTGGACTTTTAGGCTCAAAGACGAATCTTGCACACACTAGCTCCGCAGTTTTCAGTTTGCAGTTCCTCATGGCGCAGCAGGCCGAAGCAACATATCTCTACGACCTCACCGAAGTCCCTCCCGGCTGGCCCCTCGCGACCCTCATCAACGCCTTCGGCGGGTTGGCTGGATATGGTGCCATTCGTAACCCGAGGCAAGCTCGCGAGGCCGTGAGCGGGCGGCTGGTGGAGCGCTGGGCCGCGCGGCCGGACGAGGCCAGGGCCTGGCTCGCGCGGTGCCGGGAGCGCTTTGCGACCGAGCTCGCGGGCAAGGCGGGGCGGGAGCTCCTCGGCGAGGCGCTGCTCCGACACGGGATGGTCGAGTGGGGGAAGTACGGGTGGCACGGCTGCTGGCGCTTCTCCCAGGCGGGGCTGCTGCGAGGAGAGCCGCATGCCTGTACATATCAGCGGGAGCGCTGGGAGGCTGCGTACCTGGAGTTCGCCTGTGCCTGCGATCGCTTGCAGGAGCTCGCAGAGCGGCTTATGCAGGCCGAGAGCCAGTGGCCGCCGCTTCTGCGGCTCGGGCAGGGGGCCTCCGAGCGCCGGCGCCTCGAAGCGGAGCTTCAGCAATCGCAGGAGGAGGGCCGAGAGTTGCGCAATCGCCTGGCTGCTGCAGAGGCGGAGGCTTCCGGCAAGGATGCGGAGCTCCAAGCTGCGCAGAGCGAGAGCGCCAAGTGCAAGGAGCAGTGCGAGGAGTTCGCAACTCGCACGGCAGCTGCGGAGTCAGCGACGGCAGAGATGCAAAAGGAGCTGCGGAAGATGCAGGAGGAGCATGGCAAGTGCCAGGAGGATTGTAGGGAGCTCGCGACTCGCTTGAAGGCGGCCGAGGCAGAAGCTTCCGATCATGCTAAGACCAAGGAGCTTCTAGCGCAGGCCGAGTCCGATGCCGCCGAGAAGCAGTCGGAGGTGCAGCGACCGCAGCAAGACGAGAGTCGCTGCTGCGCGGAGTATGCGTCAGCAGAAGAGGCCAAGAGCAGGGTGGAGATGCAGTTCGAGAAGGCGGTGCTGTTGGAGCGGTGCGAGCAGCTGCGTCAGCAGCTCACCAAGGCAGAAGGAAAGTTGGGTCAGATGCAAATTGTGTGGGAAGAGAAGGCGACGTACAAGGAGCGTTGCCGCCAGCTGGAGCGCCAGCTGGCCGAGGTGAAGCCCCCCCACTCCAGCAGCCCTTCCGTCCCTGCCAGCCTCACCTGCCAGGTTCCAGTTCCCGATGCAGCTTCCAACGGCCCGTCCCAGGTTCAGGAGCATCGAGCTTCCATCTTCGGGTTGTGATTCGATGCTCTTTGGAACATGAGCTGGTTCTTTCAGAAGTACATAACTGAATCGAGGTGCTGCATGTAGCAGTACTGACGGGCAGTGCCGGCACGAAGGCTTTGCATGGATCTGCCGCTATGTGCGGCTCGCATCCTGTGCAGAAGATCGCAGGCAGACCTCGAAGGATTCGCCAGCAGACGAGGCAGAAAGCAAAGTCCCCTGCTGCTTCAGAGATCATTGTAATTCCCACCCTTTGCCCAGCAAAGGGCAGAGCTCCATATTTCTTTTCTCTCCCCAGACCCAACGCTCCAAGCCTCTCCCAAGCCCCTTATAATTTAAGGAATATGGCTTAAATTACAGGGGCCTTTATATTATGATTCAAGGTACATTCCTTAACTAAGGGGTATTGGGCTCTCTGGCAACTGCAGGCCTGCAGCCGAATCCTGCGAGCGACGCGCCCCTGCGCCCAAACCCGTCGCCTGCGCAGGCAGGAGGGAACAGTGAGGGTTCAGGTCGGGTTTAGGGTTTAGGATTTAGGGTACAGGGTTTTCGGGTTTAGGGATTTAGGGTTTAGGGCTTTAGGGTTTGGGGATTTAGGGTTTAGGGTTTGGGCTTTAGGGTTCTTTTCTACACGGGTACGCTATACTAAGAAGTGTTCAAAAGGGGTTTGGGTCGAAAAGGATGAGTTATAATGGGTTATAAACAGGGTTCAGGTGTACAAGGGTACCCTGTGCAGGTCATAAAAACGGTTCAGGTCCATACGGGTACCTATAGGCGTATCAGAAGGGCTTGGGGTTTCGGGGGGGACCTAAGGGGTTTAAGGGCTTCTCGGATTTTAGCCGCTGGTGTTCAGGGTTTAGTTAGTCTGTGTGGCTGCAATCCCGGACCCAAATTCACAGACCCTAAGCCCAAAAACCCTAAAAGCCGAAACCCTGAAGGCCTCAACTCTAAACTACAGCGAAGCTTTTGTTCTTTTTTTGGAAAACCAGCCCCTCTTCAAACAAAAAAACAACTACAGCGAAGACTGCACCGGAAAGCTGCCCTGACCTGTGCCAGGGCTCCTCCGTGTTTGGCGGCCCGCAGGCCGACGGGGAGAGCTTGTCGGGGCTTAGGGTTTTTAGGGGTTTAGGGGTTTAGGGTTTATGTTGCTGACGATGGCTTGTGTGAGTGTTGAGTGGCTTATCTGAGTGAGTGTCGTGTGTGTGTGTGTGTGTGTACACGCGTGTGCGGGAGCGTGTGCGAGTAGGAAGTTTCTGGGCTCAGGGTATTGAGATTGACAGTGACGTATGGGCTTGAGGCTTCACTACGCAGGGAAAAGTGTTTATAGGTTTGCCACCATGGGGTGTGCAGCGAAACCCATCGGCAGGTCTCACAAGGAACACACTTAAACCCCAAACCCGAGGCCTAATTTTGGCCTGAAACCTCAAGCGTAGTTAAGCCCGTTTCCCCAGAAACTACTCCCCAAATCCTAGACCCTGTCGGATGCTTAGAGTTGCAGAGCGCAGCTTCGGGGCTTCAATCGTGCTCATGGTGCCTGACTTAACACAGGGGTTTTAGGGTTTACAACAAGACGAAGCCATGCTGCGGATTCGAACTGTGTCCGGTGACGGACTCGTTGACCTTGATCTGGCGAGCTTTCTCCAGATGCTTCCTGAAGCCATGCATCCCGTCCGGGCATTGAAACAACATTTGCACAGCATGTGTGGGCTGTCAAGGTTCCGGCAAAGGCTGGTATTCCTGGATGAGGATGCTGGTGATGACAATGAGGCTGTGGTTCTGGATGACGATGGCACCTTGAGAGCCGGCGAAGTTCAGGTCTTTCTTCTAAACTTTTCCCCAGCATCTGAGGCGCAAGTGACAGCGCTTCGGGATGCCGCAACTAATGGACTGCCATCAGAAGTGGAGACAATGCTACAAAGGCCGCAAGACCCAGATCTAGCGGGTCTTGGTCATCGAACCGCACTGTTCGTGGCATCCAAAAGTGGGCACCTCCAGGTGACACGCCTTTTGCTGGAGGCCAATGCTGACAAGGACAAGGCCTTGCAAGATGGCATCGCCCCATTGCACGTGGCAGTTTTACGTGGGCACTTGGAGGTAGCACGCCTTTTGCTGGAGGCCAATGCGGACGTGGACAAGGCCTCGCAAGATGGCATCGCCCCAACGCCTTTGTACCTTGTCGCTGAGACTGGCCACTTGGAGATTGCACGCCTGTTGCTGGAAGCCAACGCGGACAAGGACAAGGCCATGGAAGATGGAGCCACCCCGTTGCACGCTGCAGCTCAGAATGGGCAGTTGGAAGTTGCACGCCTGTTGCTGGAAGCCACCGCGGACAAGGACAAGGCCATGGAAGATGGAGCCACCCCTTTGTACATTGCTGCTGAGAATGGGCACTCAGTCTCATGCCTTTTGCTGGAAGCCAACGCGGACAAGGACAAGGCCATGGACGATGGCGCTACCCCTTTGATGATCACAGCTGGCGAGGGGCATGTGGAGGTTGCACGCCTTTTGCTGGAGGCCAATGCGGACGTGGACAAGGCCATGCAAGATGGAACCACCCCTTTGTACCTTGCCGCTGAGAATGGGCACTTGGAGGTTGCACGCCTTTTGCTCGATGCCAACGCGGACAAGGGCAAGGCCATGGAAGATGGAGCCACCCCGTTGCACATTGGAGCTCAGAATGGTCACTTGGAGGTTGCACGCCTGTTGCTCGAGGCCAACGCGGAAAAGGACAAGGCCATGGAAGATGGAGCCACCCCTTTGCACTCTGCAGCTCAGAATGGGCACTTGGAGGTTGCACGCCTTTTGCTCGAGGCCAACGCGGACAAGGACAAGGCCATGGAAGATGGAGCCACCCCGTTGCACATTGGAGCTCAGAATGGGCACTTGGAGGTTGCACGCCTGTTGCTGGAAGCCAACGCGGACAAGGACAAGGCCATGAAAGATGGAGCCACCCCGTTGCACATTGCAGCTCAGAATGGGCACTTGGAGGTTGCACGCCTGTTGCTCGAGGCCACTGCGGAAAAGGACAAGGCCCTGGAAGATGGAGCCACCCCTTTGCACTCTGCAGCTCAGAATGGGCACTTGGAGGTTGCACGCCTTTTGCTCGAGGCCAACGCGGACAAGGACAAGGCCATGGAAGATGGAGCCACCCCGTTGCACATTGCAGCTCAGAATGGGCACTTGGAGGTTGCACGCCTTTTGCTCGAGGCCAACGCGGACAAGGACAAGGCCATGGAAGATGGAGTCACCCCGTTGCACACTGCAGCTCAGAATGGGCACTTGGAGCTTGCATCCCTTTTGCAAGAGTCGAACGCGCAGAAGAACCAAAGACCAAGGTATCGGTGATGCAGTACAGCGCTTGGAGTTTGCAGATCTTTTGCAATGTGGACGAGGAAACGGTCTTCAATAGTGGTGCCAGCACTTCGGTCACCCTGTGCGCGGAGGGAGATTGCATGTATATTGCCTCTTCTATTCCGGTTTTCAACATAAGGATCATCCCATTGTCTAGGTGTCTTTACAAGAAGGTTCCCGAGATCCTAAAACAAATGGACCACAGAATTCAGGGCTAAGGGTTTAGGATTTGGAGTTTAGAGTTTAGGGTTTTTGGGGCCTAGGGTTTAGGGCTTCAAAAGCCAGAGAATGATGCTACTTGTGTTTCTTTTTGCGGGAGCTTGCCAGGAAGACCCGTGGGAGGCGATCCTGGCCACTGGCGATGAGAACTTTGTAGAGGCCTCTGCCGCCCAAAGCAGCCGGAGCTTTGGGGTTTAGGCTTTTGAGGGTTCAGGGTTTAGGGTTTGGGGGTTTAGGGGTTCAGGGTTTTAGGGTTTAGGGTTTACGGGGTTAGGGTTCAGGGTTTAGGGTTTTCAGGGTTCGGCGCTTGCTCCTGCAGGGTCGGCTCCGTTTCTGGGGCCTTATCATCAGCGGAAGTTGAAATGCGCAAGCTGCCCTCCGAAAACCATCAAGCTCTAAACACTAAACCTTGAAACCCTAAACCCTAAACCTTGACACCCTAAAGCCCTACACCCTAAGCCCTAAACCCTAAATTTGAAATCTTTGTGCAACTCTTTCCCGAGATATGCCTTGAACTACGCACCCTTACTTGTATTAGGGTCCCAAAAAGCACATAAGCATAAGCATTTTCTTGGCGTTCTTCTGGTTGGCTCTTTAGACTTTAACTTTTTGGGTTTCTATATGAATTATAGTAAGGAGGCTAAAAGTTTAACTTTTAGGAGGGGTTCAGAAGTCAGCCAAGTTTTATGGGGATATCCCTACCTCATTGTTCTTCTTTATAAGGGGATTTATACGGGATATCCCTATCCAAATTGTTGCTTATGTGCTTTTTTGGGGCCCTATTGTAGGCTCATGGGTTCTTGCAAGCAGCGCCAGAAGTGAGGTGTCTGCTGAACCCTGCTTGCAAGTACCTTCGGACGTTTCAGTGATCCTTCGGCCTCAACCAGATAAAGGAATCAACAACTCGCGGCGGAAACCGCCCAAAACAAGAGGCATCAACTGCATTCCACAAGGCCCGTAAGGCTAAGCCTACGAGGGCCTACTTGGCCTGTTGACAGTGATCTAGATTCTGGTTTAGGGTTTAATACAGCGGCCTTCATAACTAGAACAGGGCCCCGGGATAGGTTGTAGTCCGTTGATATTCCAATCCCTAAACCCTAATCCCTGAACCCCTAATCCCTAATCCCTAAACCCCTAAACCCTAAAACCCTAATCCCTAAACCCTAAACCCTAATTACTAGGTCCCATGATCCTCCAAGTACGGGGATGCCAAAACCCTATAGATCCCTTTAAGGAACCCCTATAGATCCCTTTCAGGAACCCTTTTAAGGATCCCTTAAATCCTAAACCCTTAAACCCTAACAAAACGGGGATGCGTGCTTGAGGCCCTTTTGACTTAGTAAGTCTACTTAGTATCCCCTAGAAACCCTACTATAATCCCCATAACCCAGCTTTCTAATCCTAGTTACTAAGTCAAAAGGGCCTCCAAGTGCAGGTGCCCTAAACCCTAAACCCTAAAACCCTAAAACCCTAAACCCTAACAAAACGGGGATGCCTGCAGGTGCCGACGGTGCTCTTGGAGCGCCTGCGAAGGGCCGGGGAGGTGCAACGCAACGAGTGGCGGAAGGGACACTGTAACGGTTAAAAGGGATTCTTAAAAAGGGGTCTATAAGGGCTCTATTTAGGGTTTAGGGTTTAGGGTTTAGGGTTCTATGATATCCCCAAAATGGGCTATATGATGGGGATATAATGGCTATATTAAGGGTATATACTGTAACTCAAAGGGGAAAAGGACCCGGAGAGCCCAATACTCCTTAATTAAGGAATCTGGCTTCAATTATATAGGGCTCCATATTATGATTTAAGCCATATTCCTCAATTAAGGGGTATTGGGCTCTCTGGCGTCTGGGGAGGGACCCTTAATGGGGACCCCTATAATACCCTATGATGGGCTATGTGATGGGTATATAATAGCTATATTAAGGGTATATACCTAGGGGCCCTTATTACGGGTCCCTCCTTTTGCCCTGGATTCTTAAAAGGGTTCTGGAAGGGATCTATAACAGGGTTCTATGATAGAGTGGCATAAATAGTTAGTTACCTATACTACCTTTAAAGGGATCCTTAAGGGTTCCCTTCAGGGATCTATTTGGTTTAGGGTTTAGGATCGGGGCCGGAATGATTACCTATACTATTTTGGGCAATTCCTTGTTATAGTTATAGTATAACCTACACCAAACCCTATTCTGATTATTTAGGCCCCTATATTACTGTAGCGGTTACTTGGAGGGTTGCGGAAAGTGGCTTAGGGATCTTAGGGTATAGGGAGAGTTCCTCGGTTTTTGAGGTTTGTACGATTTGCAGGGGAGGGGGGTTCGTGTCTAACGCTTTGTGTAGTTTGGGGCTTGAAGGGGTTTACAGTTTCGGAACTCTGGGTCAGCTACAGATGCCCCGACACCGACGAAACGCGCTTATCATCACTTGGAGGATCATGGGGCTTAGTAAGTAAGGGTATAAATAAGGTAGCAGTATTTTAAAAAATACCTATAACCTCAGTAAAGGTACTTATAACCTGACTTACTAAGCCCCATTATCCTCCAAGCATATTCCCTAAACCCCAGACTAACCCCCCTAAACCCTAAACCCTAAACCCTAAACCCTAAACCCTAACCTGACTTACTAAGTCTCATGAAAACCCCAGACTCGAAGCCCAACATGGGCTTCCAGGCACAGCTAGCCGAGATAGCAGAGCTTCGTGGGCAGCTTGCGCAGCTGCCCTATGTGGAGGAGTGGAAGCTTTGATCATAAGAGGCCTACTAAATATGCGTTTTGAGGTCGTAGGGTGCAGGATTTGCAGGTTTAGTGCTTTTCGGGTGTGTATGTGCCAACATTCTAGCGTCCGGCCCTCCCACACTTGTGGAGCAACGCGACGTCTCCCTTCACAGGGGTCCATAAGCCATTTTGGTTCAAGCGTGGAGGGCACTTGACCGCATCCCCCCTTACCCCTGTGGAACGAAACGGAATCTTCTTCGCATGGGGTCTATTGGGAATTAAAGAGGGCTTAACGAAAGGGAAAGGGCCCGCAGAACTCGCTCAGGGGATACGCAAGGGGGGCCTGGGAACGCGGAACGCAGACACCGGGAGCACCAGGGGGTGTTGTGAGGTGTTGATAGTAGTCCCCGTAGACCGCACAGCCCTGGATTGTTGAGTTGTAGTACAATCTGGTATATTAAACATTCGTAGTTATGGTATAGTAGATAAAAGTATTATACAGTAAGTTATGGTCTAATGGAGCCCTTTGGCAAGCAGGACGAGATCCATCAGATGGAGCAGGAACTCGCTGAACTGCAAACGACGATCGTGGTGAACACGAACGAGCAGCTCGGGCTTCAAAGGATGGAGTTGTCTGCTTGGAGGCCCTTTGACTTAGTAAGAACCTAAACCCTAAACCCTAGACCCTAGACCCTAAATCCTAAACCCTAAACCCTAAACCCTAAGCCCTACTAGGATGCCCAGTAGTACCCTTATTCCTTTTTTTTGTCCTAGGTTCCTTGTAAAGCTCGGGCTTCAAAGGATGCTAGGACCCAGAGTAGGCCCTTATTCTCTTTTTTAGGGTTTAGGTTCTCTTATAACCCTCTTTAGCCCAAAAAGGGCACCCTTTTTATTCCTAGGTTACTCTTAGGCCTAGGATGGAGTTTTCTGGGTTTTCCAAAGGATCCTAAACCCCCAAACCCTGAACCACAAACCCAAAGGATCCTAAACCCTTAACCCTACTTGGAGGCCCTTTTGACTTAGTAAGTCTACCTAGTATCCCCTAGAAACCACATTATAATCCCCATAACCCACCTTACTAACCCTACTTACTAAGTCAAAAGGGCCTCCAAGTACAGATCCCTTAAAGGAACACTTATAGTACCCTTGAAAAGGAACCCCAAACCCTAAACCCTACATCCTAAACCCTAAACCCTAAACCCTAAACCCTAAACCGTTGCTTGGTGTTGGTTTAATATTGTGTACTTTTTGGGTCCAAAGGGGCTTCGAGCTTGCCGCTTCAGTTCTGTTCCCAACTACTTGGAGGCCCTTTTGACTTAGTAAGTAGGGTTAGTAAGGTGGGTTATGGGGATTATAATAGGGTTTCTATGGGATACTAAGTAGACTTACTAAGTCAAAAGGGCCTCCAAGTACAACCCTAAACCCTAAACCCTAGAGTTCTCGGGGTTAGGGTTTAGGGTTCAGGGTTCAGGGTTTAGGGTAAACCCTAAACCCTAGTCTGCAGGTTGGCTCTTTAGGTTTTATTTCAGGTTCCTCGAGTTAGTGGCCGGATAAATCCTAGGGGTTTCGGGGCTCGGCATGTTGGTGTTACTGCGCTCGCAGCTACAGCTCTGCCAACTGCGAAACTCGAGAGTCTAAACCTGGAAATCCCAAGTTTGAAATCCCAAAAGCCCGACGTAGGACCTGAAAAATTAGAATAGGGGTTTGAGGGCTCCTTATTTTAATTATATAGTTATAGTATAATATACCCCAAAACCCTATTCTAATTATTTTGGCCCCTACATGGAACCCGAGACCCAGCTTCAACGCTGGGGTTACATCCCAATACCGAAGGCCCAATCCCGATATTGCAGCGGAAAGCCCTAAAGCCTTGTAGTGTGCGGGCCGGAGAGTTAGAAATAGTATGAAAACGCTAATCCCTAAACCCTAAACCCAAATCCCTAAACCCTAAACCCTAATCCCCGCGTCGCGCATGCATTGTCCCAACACCCTCTGGCCTCGGAGGCTCTGCTAAACTATGGGTGGCTGTCAAAATCAGGGTCCAAGACTTTTTGGGTACCTTAAATATTAGGTACCGTCCTATATCAGGGGCCCAAAAAGGGACCATAGTTTTGACAACCACCCTTATGGGTTTAGACCCACCAGAGGGACGAGCTGTGGCTCCCCGACGTTTTCGTCATAGGGCTCTTTGGAGACGCATGGCTGGCCCCTAGCTGGCCCTCCACACGACTACTTGCAGCTACATGTCCTGTTTTCGGGTTTAGGGCCGTTTAGGGTTTTCTTATTTTAGGAGCTTCCAATGGTTTGGAGGTCACCTCCAACCCCAAGAAGAAATGATGCCGGAGGATATGTTTCTGTTTTGACATTTCTTGTGATATCTGGTTGACGTCGCCCCTGCATTTCTGAACCGACCAGTGCTTGTATTTTTCCATCCCGAAACATCACTAAGCCCCAAAACCCGAAACATCCCTAAACCTTAGAAGCTGCCCCCACCCTGTAATAGTGACTATAAGGATTATATCAGGGCCCAATTTTTATTCCCATCATGCCACTATTACAGGGTGGGGGCCCCTTCTAACCTAAACCCTAAACCCTAAACCCTAAAGCCCTAAACCCCTAGAAATCCTGACCTAAACCCCTTTATCCGCGAGCTGGCCATTTCAGGATCGAGCTGCGAAACATGGAGGCCAGGCCCCGGGGATGCGAGCGGGTTGTATTTGGGACTTTCCGAAGATTGGGGGTACCTTACATTGGGGTCCTTATAATAAGGGTCCTACTATTTAGGATACTAAATTAGGGTCCCTCATTTTCGGAAACTCCCATTTGTTTAAGTTTACAGTAAACCCCATAGAGTTGGAAACCGGATGAAGGCCAACTGGAGCTGGGATTCCCTTTACATTGCCCTTGAGGAAATAGGCTATTGGGTTTCCAACTTTTGGGCTTCTACTATAATGGATTTGTTTACATACATAAGTTGTACGGTTTTTTGATGCTCGCTTTTTGTAGGGTCTGTGGGGCTTCACGTTTGTATACAGGTCCAAAGCAAGGGAATAGTACAACACCTGCTTCCCCCCTCTATACTGTGTATCGTGCTGTGAAGGTATTAAGCATTTCAGGAATAAAGGTGCATGCAACTTTCTATGCTATACTATCCATGGGTAGTTGCCAAAATTATGGTCCCTTTTTGGGTCCCTATTATAATACGGCACCCATTATTTAGGGTACCCCCAAAAGGGACCCTAATGTTGACACCACCCTCATATTTCAGGATAGCCTTCCATAGAATTGTCTAAAGGGAACTCCAGAAAGTTGGAATATGGATTAATGGTAGGATCCCCTATAATTTACCTTTAAGGGGTTAGGATAATCATATTCCAACTTTCTGGCTTCTACTGTATGCTGCTTGAGGTCCTGAGCTCTCAGCCTCTATCCGAGGGTCCGGAAGCCCTCTACAATGACTCTAAAGTCCCCTACTTGGAGGCCCTTTTGACTTAGTAAGTAGGGTTAGTAAGGTGGGTTATGGGGATTATAATGGGGTTTCTAGGGGATTCTCAGTAGACTTACTAAGTCAACAGCGCCTCCAAGTAGAGTAATATAGGGGCCTAACTAAATACCTTACTACTTTTGGGGCTTCCTTATTCTAAGTATAGTAGAATTGGCCCCAAAACCCTACTAGAAGGCCCCCTATATGAGCCATGTCTAAAATCCTTACAGTTACCCCAAGCAACCTACCCTTTTAAGGACTGATATAAAGAACTCATATTAGGGAACCCTAAACACGTAGGTTCCTTAGGGTCCAGGTACAGTAAGCCCTTGCCTTTCGCCTTCCGCACCGAGTTTTTGCCTTCACGGCGGAGGTCTGAAGCCCAGCAGCCCCAGGCCTCAAAACAATGCAAGACCCCCAAAAAGCGTCACCAAATGTACTTACTAAGGTTCCTTAAAAGGGCTGCTTAAAGGGATCTTTAGGGGTTCCTTAAAGGGATCTATAGGGTTCGGGGTTTAGGGTCTACTTAAAGGATCATGGGAGTAAGTAAGTGGGGGTTATAAATGAGGCAACTACACTTATAACTACTTATAACCCCAATTAAGGTACTTATACCCCTACTTACTAAGTCCCATGATCCTCCAAGCAGAGCCCCAAATGGGAGTTTACGATACTAGGGGGTACCTTATTTTGGGGGTCCTCATAATAAGCATCCTACTACTTAGGGTACTATATTAGTCCCCTATTTTCGGAAAACCCCAAATCTCCAAAGCAGCTTCATCGTGACCCTATGAAACCCTACAGCCCTGCTACAGAATCCCTACCACACCCTGAAGCCATGAACCCCTAAACCCCCCAAACTCCCTAAACCCCTGAACCCCTCAACCCCTAAACCCCGAAACCCTAAACCCGAATCCCTAAACCCTACCCTAAAGCCCAAAGACCTCGAGCTCCAAACCGCAGCCCTAAGGCCCTAATGTAGGGATAGGGTGTTGCGGGTTCCTTATATTCTAGGATGCCCAGTAGTACCCTTATTCCTTTTTTTGTCCTAGGTTCCTTATAAAGTTACCCAATACCAAAAAGAGAGGCCTTTTTGTTCTTAGGTTACTAGGTATCCTAGCTAATGATTCAAGCCTCTACATTAACCCTGAATCCGAAACTCGGAACCCTCATAGAACCCTTAAAAGCACCGTTACAGGGCCAGAATACATCACAGCCTAAACCCTAGACCCCAAACCCCGAACCCCGAACCCCAAGCCCCAAGACCGACAAAAACTCCCCGAGCTTGAAACCCTAAAGCCCCTAAACCCCTAAACCCTAAACCCGAAAGCGCCAAACCCTTGAACCCCTAAACCCCCTACCCCCTAACCCTAAATGCCCGAAACCCCTAAACCCTAAAACCCCAAAGCCCCAAACCCCCTGTAGATCCCCTATAGATCCCGTGAAGGAGCCCTTGTAGCACCCTTTAAAGGAACCCCCAAAAGCCCACCCCCCCCCCCCCCCCCCTAAACCCTAAACCCTAAACCCCTAAACCCTAACCCCTAAACCCAAGCGCCCCCCCCCCCCCCCCCCCCCCCCCCCCCAAAAGTTTCCTTTTCGAAGGCCGAGTCCATAGGCCTCGAGGCCGCTCGCTTGGAGGCGACCAAGGCCTGGGCTCCTGAAAGGGAACCCAAAGGGGATCTATAGGGTTCCTTTAAAGGGTACTCTAAGGGCTCCTTTAAGGGATCTATAGGGGATCTATAGGGGGTTTGGGATTTTAGGGTTTTAGGGTTTAGGGGTTTCGGGCATTTAGGGTTAGGGGGTAGGGGGTTTAGGGGTTCAAGGGGATCTATAAGGTTTAGGGCTTTAGGGACTTATTATACCAAATTATATATTTTGCTATAGCATATACTTAAAGGGAACCAAATGGGGACCCAGAGATCCCAAGACCCCTTAATTAAGGAATATAACTTAATTGAGGAAGATACCTGAAGTAAGGAGTATACCTTAATGAAGGAAGATACCTTAATTATGGAATATACCTTGATTAAGGAATATACCATAATGAAGGAATATACCTTAAATTATAGGCGGCTTAATGTTATGATTTAAGGTGTATTCCTTCATTGAGGGGTATTGGGTTCTCTGGGCCTTTGTGGGGGCTACCCTTCAAAGGAACTCGTAAGGTAGCCTTCGAGGAACGCCTTAAAAGGTACCCTAAAAGCATCCTTTAAGGGAGCCCTTGGGGAGCGTACCTCCTTAGGGTGCCCCTTAAAGGAACCCCCCTTAAGGTACCCTTTAAAGGAACCCTGAACCCCTACCCTTCAAGGCGGTCGTATGGGATCTTTTCCGTGTTTATAGGGGCTTCAGGGTTGAAGGGCTAAGTTCACGCTGCGGGTGTGCTTCTTTAGGAGTACTTGGAGGCCCTTTTGACTTAGTAAGTAGGGTTAGTAAGGTGGGTTATGGGGATTATAATAGGGTTTCTAGGGGATACTAAGTAGACTTACTAAGTCAACAGGGCCTCCAAGTAGGGGGTTGCGTCCACTTTGAGAGGATTTGTGAAACCCTAAACCCTAAACCCTAAACCCTAAACCCTAAACCCTAAACCCTAAACCCTAAACCCTAAACCCTAAACCCTAAACCCTAAACCCCACGGCACGGGCGTTCGCTCGACGAGAAGCAAAGGTTTCTGCAAAGCAGCCTGCCCCACTCACCCTGTGAGGGTCGCTGTCTCGAAGCTTAAATGCCTGGCCTTGAGAAATTGGTTGGGCCCGGCTTACTTGGAGGATCATGGCACTTAGTAAGTAAGGTTACAAGTGCCTTAATTGGGGTTATAAAGAGTTCTAAGTATACTTACCCTATGCATAGTCTTACTTACTAAGTCCCCGCCGGATCCTCCGAGTACAAAGGGGGAGAATCCGAAAAGTCACAAAAAGTTGCGCCATGCTCGCCTAAACCCTAAACCCTAAACCCTAAACCCTAAACCCTAAACCCTAAACCCTAAACCCCTAAACCCTAAACCTGGGGAGGCTCTGCAAGGCCTTTGCGGTTTTGGGGCCCTGAAAGGTTGCGGTCTCAATGGTAGTGGTAACGGTGGATGATATAAATCCTGCATTACGTTAAGGACCCTAAACTATGGGGACAATGGTATATTCCTTGTTATGGGTCATGCAGGATTTGTATCATCAACCGTAATCAACATAGGTGCCTTAACAAATACCAATACTATTGTGAGGGTTCCTTAGTATAATTAAAGCAGAGTATACCCAAAGCCCCATTATTCCCTGCCTGACGGCGGAGAGATCTTTAGCGGGGCGACGCCACTACGGTCCTCGTATGCTGGGAGGGCTTCACCCTCCTTCTCCGTTCTGTCGAGACGCTTGCTTATCTCAGAGTCCGGCTGCAGAACTTCGACATGGTAGCGATGGGAAGTTGAAACTGGCGTGTACAAGTGCTTGACGGGCAAGAGGGTTTAACAACCAGGATTTTAGTAATCTGTTAAAGGTACATGTGCCACAACCCCGAAATTTTGAACTTTAGAACCCGAAGCCTCTACATGAAACGGCCTGTTACTTTAAAGCCCTTCTAGACACCCCATGCAACGACACTAAACCTCCAGCAAGCACTTATCAAGCCTTATTCCTTACAGAACGCCTGTAAACCCCCTTCCCCCAAAAAACCCTGAACCCTGAACCCTAAACGCTAAACCCCGAACCCTCTCAAACACAAACCCAAGCCTTGTAAAGCGGTGAAGCGGCCCAAAAGGTGGAGAGAAAGGCTCGCCTGGAGTCCCTGAATGCCCAGGCCGCTGTGGGAAGTTTGTCGTGAGGAGGATCCGTACAAGGGCGCATTGGGTTTAGGGTTTAGGTTTAGGGTTTACTTGGAGGGTCGGGGGACTTAGTAAGTAGGTAGTGAGCAGACTGATAAGTACCCTAAAAGGGACCCTAATTGGGGTTATGGTACTTATAAGTCTCTAAAATAACCAGTTACTAAGTCCCCCGACCCTGCAAGTAGGGTTTAGAGATGCGTGCAAGGGCTCCTTTAGGGCTTAGGGTCTGGTCAAAAACGGTGGCCCAGAATTCACGGAGGATCGAGAAAGTAAACTCCTCTCCGGGGAAGCTATACTATTAATGGGTGCAGCATAGGAACCCCCTCAAAGGCTCAAAGGCCCTTAATCGCTTGTCTACTCAGAGAGCCCAGTCCCCATACCCCTTAATTAAAGAATATTCTTTAAACCATAATATTCAGGCCCCTATTATTTAAGGTATAGTCCTTAATTAAGGAGTTTGGGGGCTTTCTGCGTACCTGACCCAACGTAAATGAAGTTCCTAAGCATGAGCCCAGTACCATAGCTACTGTCCTTGTTGTTGTGGTCGTTCATGGTTGTGGCGGCGGTGCTGGTGTCCCTAAGCCCTAACCTCTAAACCCTAAACGCTAAACCCCTAAACCCCCAAACCCTAAACCCTAAACCCCTAAGCCTTAAGCCCTTAACCCCAAAAATCCTAAATCGTTCCCGGCTGCCCTGAGCCCTGAGTCCCGGTCGCAGCAGGCCGGCGAGATCGAGTTCTGGCTTGACGCCGCAGGGCACGCTCCCGTCGGTCCCGAGGTGCGGAGCCGGACCTTGAAAGACATCCTAAAATGCTCATGCTTAAAATGCAGGTCGGGTAATATAGGGGACTTAATAGTTAGAATAGGGTATGGAGGTATATTATACTTATAATTAAGAAGGACCACCCATTTCGTATATACATATAATATACTCTATATATATATATATACATAATTATCAAGGCCCCTATATTAAAATGCAGTCGGATGGTTGGGTGGCCAGTCGCAAGTACCCGAAGCTCTGACTGGTAGTTCCGGTTACCAAGCTTGCAGCGGAACTTATACCCAGACCCCCGGGAGGATCCAAAAATCAGATCCCTCAATGGGGGTTCCTATAAGTAGGGTCCCAAATTAGGGGATCTACTTTCTAGATACTTTTTGGGGTCTGGGTAAATGCACACGAAGGCTGCAAGAACCAGCCTGTCAACTCTGGACCCCTCCGTGTACTCTACGTAGCAGCAAACGAAATAGCAGTTTAAGCTTTTAACAACTTACCTTTGGTTAGTAGGGAATGGAGGAATGGGGTACAATTATAGCTACTATTACTACCATGCTTCCATTCCCTACTAACCAAAGGTAAGACAAGCCTCACCCTGGGGGTTAATGTGGTCAGGGCCATGGATCCAGTTCCAAAGCGTCCTGCCTCCACAGCAGACATCCTGCATAAAGGTCAAATGCCTAGACTTTCGATGGCAAGGCCAGGCCTTGAACTAGATCCTGAACCTGAAACCCGAATCCCTACTTGGAGGCCCTTTTGACTTAGTAAGTGGGGTTAGTAAGCTGGGTTATGGGGATTATAATAGTGTTTCTAGGGGATACTAAGTAGACTTACTAAGTCAAAAGGGCCTCCAAGTAGACCCTAAACTGACGAGTTACAGCACGGTTCGGCAAACTCATCCTGGGACAGCAGCCCAAATCCAAACCCCCACCCTCAGACCCGAAGCCCTGAAAAAGGCACCCACAACTTGGAGGCCCTTTTGACTTAGTAAGTCTACTTAGTATCCCCTAGAAACCCTATTATAATCCCCATAACCCACCTTACTAACCCCACTTACTAAGTCAAAAGGGCCTCCAAGAACCCCCCGCCTCTGCAGGGCCGTGCCAGAGTTGAGCGCTACAAGGCTCAACGGGGAAAAGGAGGGACCCTTAATGGGGACCCCTACCCCAAAACTTGGCTATATAGCGGGTATATAATAGCGATATTAAGGGGTATGCACCTAGGGGTCCGCTGGACCCCTCAACTCTGTTCTGGGCCTTTGTAGGGTGAGGAGTTGGGTTTAATGTAGGGGCCTTAATACTTAGAATAGGGTTCCGTTTAAAGGGATCCTTAGACGGGGTCTATAAGGGATCTATAGTACGGTTCTATAATGTAGGGGCCTTAATAATTAGAATAGGGTTTTGTGGCCCATATAGTACTATGGTTATAAAAAGGAACCCCCAAAACAGCATAGTCAACTGTGAAGGCCCGGGTTTAGGGTTCAGGGTACAGATCGTCAATTAGGAGCTTCTGTTTTTTTACGTACTCACAAGAAGAAATTTCAATCCTCTTCTAGCAATTCTAGCAGAGTAGCCTAACCCCGAAACGCGATACCCTAAGCCCTGAACCCTGAATCCTTGGCCAAGGTCCTTGGTAGGAGGGTCGGGGGACGTAGTAACTGGCTATTTTAGGGACTTTTAAGTACCATAACCCTAATCAAGGTCCCTTTTGGGGTACTTATAAGTCGACTTACTGCCTACTTACTAAGTGCCCCGACCCTCCAAGTGAACCATAGATCATGGTAAACCCGAGGCCCCAAACCGTAAGGTCTCTGGGGTTCTTTGCAGGCGGCTGCACGTGCTGCTGCCGAGGCCTCGAGCAAGGGCGGCGAAGGCGAATGACCGCCTTCCGATACGAGAGAGCTTTTCCTAGGCTTCATGAGTTTGTAGCTTTTTTATTTACGAGGTTTTTCGTTTCAACAGCGTGGTTTCACATCCCTCATGAGTTGTCAGAAACTTCCGCGCACTTCATTGTTCCTACACTTGGTTGAAGGTTCGGATGGGCAGTTATACCATATACCTTAGCATATCATACATCTTTGCCCTGGTTTTGCTGCTGTTAACTCCCTCGTCGCCACCCTTGGGCCCTAAACGCCCTACAGAACTCCTTCTGGAAGCGAAAGCTACTGCGCAGTTGCTGTTGCCGCCCGCGGCAGCGTCACATCGCAGGCCGGTGGCTCCATTACGAAGGGTGCTCATTGGTGTAGCAAGTACTTGGAGGGTCGGGGGACATAGTAACTGGCTATTTTAGGGACCTATTAGTAATTACCATAACCCCAATTAGGGTCCCTTTTAGGGTACTTATAAGTCTACTTACTACCTACTTACTAAGTCCCCCGACCCTCCAAGTAGGGTCCCGGACCGCTGTTTATGGAGCCCCATGGGGGTGGTTCGCTGCAAAGCCCAAGCCCACCGAACCCACTCCAAACCCACCCCAAGTCCTCATACCACTGCTTGCCACAGACAGTCCAAGGTTCGTCTTGCAAACCCCTAAAGCCTGAACCCCAAACCCTTAAATCCCAGACCTCACAGCGCTTCTTTCAGCTCACCCTCCCAAGCTTCAAGCAAGGCTTCCCAAGTGGAGCATCATAGTTCAGAGCTTGAGGGGTGCGCGACCCCACGATCACAGCACTTGAAGCAAGTCCGAAACCTCGAACTCCTATTCCCTGCGCAAATCTTTCTCTTTTCGATTGTTGACTGTGCTTGGAGGATCATGGGACTTAGTAAGTAAGCTTATTTTTACCTTAATTGGGATTATAAGTAGTTATAAGTATAGTTACCTTATTTATAACCTTACTTGCTAAGTCCCCTGATCCTCCAAGTGAGCTTCAGGCATCGCAAGATGTGGCCCTGCGCACAGCACGGGAGTGGCAGGAGCCCAGCGTGCTCAGATGTCCTGGTAGTGCTACTGCTCCTGCTGCTGCTGCTGCTGCTGCTGCTGCTACTGCTTCAACGACTTGGTACTGATATCGAGCTCTCCCCAGCAGTCAGAGGATCCAATATCAAACCGTAGCCGCAGCTATGGAGTGCATCCCGTTGTGGGGGCGGAAACAGTTGTCTGGAGGCAAGCTTTTCCATGTGTGCCCCAAGTTCGAGCCCGAAAACCATGCATTGGAAGTTTGAAATGTATCATGTCCAGCCGTCTCCTTTAAGGCACTTGAACGCATAACCCTACTTGTATGGTGAGTTTTTGCATGGTGAGCTTTTGCCGTGTTGCAGGACTTGTGCATCAGTGGCGAGCCTCCTGGCCTGGAAAAAACTCCATCGTCTGTATAACAAGGACCTGAACATGTAGTAGTATCATTGCGTAGGTTTCGTGACTTCATCTGCCGGATGCAACCCCAAAACGCAAGTCGAGGCAGGCAGGTCTTTTTTGTCATATTGAGCTGCTGGATTTTTTTGGCCCGAAGCCGTAACACTGATTCTTAAAATCCGGAAACCGTCGCAGGTGCCTGGGATACAAGGTGATGACCAGGTGTTTTTTCTTTTTTTGGTACAAGACAATGAAATAGCAATGATAGTCGCGTCAGTTTTAAGTTAGACTACCCCGAACCCTAAACCGTAAACATCCCTAAACTCCAAACCCTGAACCCTAAAACCTAAAGAGTACTTCCTCCAGCCCCAAGCCACCACGTCATCTCAGGTTGCAATCCGACGCACATCGGTCGGAGCTGGCGGATTTCTTCCATCGCCTGGACCCGGCAGGCGTGGGTTTAGAGGTCCTTATGATAAGGACTTCTTGAGGGTCGACATTCCGGCCATTGGATTTTTGGAAACTCAATAAACCCTAAACCCCAGCCAATGTCCAGGTCCGGCAGGCGGCCGTCTCTTCACAGAGGCGGAGGTGCAGGCAGGATGCGTCGGAAGTCGGCTGAAACGTGAGTTCCCATGCCGCAGGGTCGCCCAAAGAAATCGGACCTGAAATGCCTCGGTCCCAAAGCCCTATTAACCAAAACCGTAAGAACGCTGTAAAGCAAAACAACGCCCTGTAGAACCAATCCGAATATCTAAACCCCACTGGCAAAACCCCTAAACCTTTAACCCCAAAGCCCAAAACCCTAAACCCCTTAAGCCCAAACCCCTACAAACCCCACCCCCCTATAAAACCTAAACCCTAAGCCCGTAAGCCCCGGCCTAAGCATGGTACACTTGGGCGGTTGTCAAAATTAGGGTCCCTTTTTGGGTTCCTATTAGAATACGGCGCCTGTTATTTAGGGTACCCGAAAAGGGACGACCCTACTTTTGGCAACCACCCCTCTTACTACCTAGTAGAAGGAATAAACCTTAAATCATAATAGTAAGGCCCCTATAATTTGAGGTATATTCCTTAATTAAGGGGTATTGGGATCTCTGTAAGTAGGTAGTAAGTAGACTTATAAGTACCCCAAAAGGGACCTTGATTAGGGTTATGGTACTTAGAAGACTCTAAAATAACCAGTTACTAAGTCCCCTAAACCCTAAACCCTAAACCCTAAACCCTAAACCCTTACAGAATCCCTATAGATCCCTTTAAAGGGGCCCTACAGGAACCCTGGGCACTTGGCTCCAGGCTGCAGCGGCCAATCCGAAAAGCGGCTTGCCGAGGGCAGTGCGAGGACCGGAGCCGATCCCAGGGACTTGGGGGGCTCTGGAAGCTTAGGAGTTTTAGGGTTCCTTTAAAGGGTACTATAAGGGTTTAGGGTTTAGGGTTCCTTTAAAGGGTACTACAAGGGTTTAGGGGTTTAGTGTTTAGGATTTTGGGGGCTTAGGGTTGTTATAAGCACCTTAAAACGGATCTTAATTGGGGTTATGGCGCTTATATTATATAGCTCTATAACGGGGTTTAGGGTTCCTTTAAAGGGTACTACAAGGGTTTTGGGGTTTGGGGGTTTTGGAGGCTCTGGGAAGGGGGTCTAGAAGGGCTATAACCAAGGGCTAATAATTATAAGGATTTAATATAGGAGCCTTAATAACTAGGTTTAGGGGTTTTGGGGGCTTAGGGGTTTTGGGGTCCTTTCAAGGGTACTATAAGGGTTTAGGGGTTCATATAGGGTTCCTTCAAGGGGCACTATAAGGGTTTAGGGGTTTATATAGAGTTCCTTTAAAGGGTACTATAAGGGTTTAGGGGTTTATAGAGGGTTCCTTTAAAGGGTACTATAAGGGTTTAGGGGTTTATATAGGGTTCCTTTAAAGGGTACTACAAGGGTTTAGGGGTTTAGGGGTTTAGTGTTTAGGATTTTGGGGCTCAGGGGTTTTGGGGTTTATAGTAGAAGCCCAAAAGTTGGAAACCCAATAGCCTCAATCCTTAAGAGTAATGTATAGGGAATCCCAGGACTATTTGGCCTTAATCCGGTTTCCAACTTTATGGGGTTTACTATAGGGTTCCTTTAAGGGGTACGAAAAGGGTTTAGGGGTTTAGGATTTAGAGGTTTAGGGGTTTAGTGTCTAGGGTTTTGGGGCTCAGGGGTTTGGGGTTTAGGGTTTGGGGTTTTGGGTTTCAGGTTTGGGGTTTATAGGTACCCTTATAGACCCCTCTCAGAGAGCCTTATCCATTTTAGGAGCTCTCTCTCATATTAAAATCCCTCAAAGCCCTTAAGAAGCCTTTTTCAGGAACCTACTCGGAACCCTTTCGACCCTAAGCCCCAAACCCGAAAAACTTACCCTCCCCAGATTCTTGGGAGAGCCCTCTTTTCGTGAACCTTCGCCCTTAGACCCTGAAAGAATCTTAAAGATCCCCTAGAGAACTAAACCCTGAACCCTAAAACTTCGAAACCTCTAAACCTCTAAAACCCCAAACCCTATAAATCCCCTATAGATCCCTTAAAGGAACCCTTATAGTACCCTTTAAAGGAGCCCCAGACCCTGAACCCTGTCTTCCTGTTATCCTCTGCCAGGGCAGCTCCTAGATGTACTGCGTGCCTCCGGCGCCGAAGCTGGCCAGGAGCTTACTGGGAGTGACTGTAACCCCAAACCCTGTGTAACATACTTGCAGGCCCTTTTGACTTAGTAAGTAGGGTTAGTAAGGTGGGTTATGGGGATTATAATAGGGTTTCTAGGGGATACTAAGTCTAAGTAGACTTACTAAGTCAAAAGGGCCTCCAAGTAAGGGTGCCGTAATATGTTGGGTGACCTAAGAGAGACCCCAGGTTAGAGAACTACCCATGGATCGAACTAGAGTGACTGCAACCCCAACTTGGAGGATTAGGGGGCTTAGTAAGTGGGGTTGTAAATAAGGTAACTATACTTTTAAGTACTTAGAACCCCAATTAAGGCACTTATAACCCTACTTACTAAGTCCCATGACCATCCAAGAAACCCTGAACCCCTAAACCATCCTAAACCCTAAACTCCCAGACCCCTAAACCTGAAACCCAAAAACCTTAAACCCTTTGTAGCGCCTCTTCCCAGGCCCTCGACCCGCTGCAGAGCCGGAGACGTCGGTGCCTGCAGTTGGAAAGCCTGGAGAGGACTTTGGGTGGGGTTAGGGCATGTAGGGTCCCTTAAAGGGTTCCTTCAGGGTTTAGGATTGGAGTATGAAAGGCTTAGGGGTGTAGGGTTTAGGGTCTGGGGTTTGGGGGAAATTTAGGGTTTGGGCTTTAGGGTTTAGGGTTTAGGGTCCGTACTACGTAGCTGACGTTTAACCAGTTCGGGCTGTCTGGCGCATGAGAATCCCTATGTAATGCCGAAGGTTAAGCTTTGGATACTAGACAGCTAAGTACTATGCCGGACCCTCCTTAAGGATCCAAAAGAGAGAGCTTTCGACAACTATCCTAGCATTCTATGAAGCCTGTTGCTTTGTCTTACATACCGAATGGCCGTGATCCTAATGGGTTTTTGTAGCGAGCGATACAGCATTGGGGGTACGTACTTCTAACACGGATCCGACGTCTTTAGGGTTCTATATCACAGCTCCCAAAGACTATACCAAAATCCTAAACCCCAAATTGAACACCCTAACCGCCCTAACCCATCCTATAACCCTAAGCCCTAAGTGCCTAAACCCTAAACGATCAGTTGTCGTGTTGTGCAGGACAGCGTCCCAGCCGTGGCAGCAGCCACTGCCTCACCCGATGATGCCGAGCAGAGTGATCACTCCAATCCGGACCGCACGAGTTAGGGGTTTAGGGTTAGGGTTTAGGGGTTTAGGGTTTAGGGGTTTAGGGTTCTGGGTTTAGGGTTTAGGGGTTTAGGGTTTAGGGGGGTTTTCAAGCTTGACGTTGGAGCGGATGTGGGCTTGGTGCCGAGGGTTTCGAGATGTTTTCGATAGGCCTGAGGGGTATCAAAGCCTCTGAACCCGTCCGGACGCAGGGCAATCATCCATTTCGGCGCATAGTTTTAAGTCTCGTTGGATCATGCGCGTTGCTATAGATAGATAGGTAACCTGCACAGTCTTGCAACTTCTTGGCAACTTAAAACCCTAAAACTAACCCTAAACCGTCAACTTTTTGTTCTAGAGGACTTCAGCACCTTTACGTAGGTCCGTAGGGTATGTCCTGAAGCATCAGCGCTTGGAGTCGAGAGGAGGGGTCATTCACGCTGCCGGAGTGGAGGGACTTCTTCCGTGAAGAAGGTCCGCGGGTGACCAAGTGTTGAGTCGGTTATCTACGAATCTGATACAGGGGCCTTGACACTGTTTCCGGGTCTCCTTTTTACAAGTACCGTACTGTATATTACGCACCGAAAGCCTTATTCTAAACTTTTAAATATTCTTGCCCCTCTATTATCTATCTGTCTATCTTTGCGGTCTTCATGTTGAGCTATGCCGTGACAGGTTGCATTACATGGTGTCGTTTACAACTGTAGCTGTGTTTTGCACTCAGTTGCTAGGTTCTGTTATAGTAAGTGTGGTGTGTCTATATGTTTTCATATATATATATATATATATATATATATATACATATATATAGACACATACACACAGATGACTGCACATACTATGCCATGAAAGATTTTTGGTTATTCCATTATGCATAGTAAGCACGCACACAGGCATACACACGCGCGAATACGTACAATACATGTGATACAGATAGTCTGGCATGAATCTCCGGATCATCTGGAGGCTCATTCAGCACGGAGGAGTGGATGGAGGTGACTGGCGCGCCTTACCTAAACCCTGAACCCTACACCCTAAACCCTGAACCCTAAACCCTAAACCCTAAACTGAAGCGAGCTGCGGGCGCTGCGAATAGCAGCAGCGAGCGTGCCGAAGCGTCAGTGAGGCTGGCTCCGTAGCTGGCGCGACAGGCGCAGCGAAGGAGCCCCAGCACCGGCTCAGGTGCTGGCGCATGCGACAGGCATGCTAGCCAATCAGAACAATATGACCCTAAACCTCCAAGCTCGGAGGGCCCCATCCCTTAGGATTTAGGATTTAGGATTTAGGGTTTAGGATTTAGGATTTAGGATTTAGGATTCAGGATTTAGGATCTATGGTTTAGTTTTTAGGATTTAAGATTTAGGATTTAGGGTTTAGGATTTAGGCTTTAGGATGTAGGATTTAGGGTTTAGGATTTAGGATTTAGCCTATGCGCCTGCCTGGGTGGGCCGGCCTGGGCCCTCCTCCCTGGCCTGGCTGTGGCAGGTCTTGGACCAGGGACTGTTGCGCCCCCACCCTCCGCTCCCGGGCCCCCCCCGGGACAGTTGTCCCAGGGCCCCCCCGCGACAGTTGTCCCAGGGGCCCGTCCTTCCCTGCCCTGCCTGCCCTGCCCCCTGCTCCTGCTCTCCCTGCTCCCCTGCCCTGCCCTGCCCTGCCCTGCTCTGCCCTGCTGCCCTGTCCTGCCCCGCCCACTGCCCTGCTTGGCCTGATTTTGGGCCACCGCCAGACCAAGCCACAAACCTTGAAAAAACCCTAAACCCGACAAAGGTCATAGACTGGGTGGGCGGGTAGGGCGAGAGCGTTGAACCTGGGCGCACACCACAACACACGTCTCGCGTGGTGGTGTGCGCGGAGCATCGACACACCCTAAACCCTAAACCCTAAACCCTAAACCCTAAACCTTGAACCCTGAACCCTAAACCCTAAACCCTGAACCCTAAACCCTAAACCCTAAACCCTGAACCCTAAACCCTAAACCCTAAACCCTGAACCCTAAACCCTAAACCCTAAACCCTAAACCCTAAACCCTAAACCCTAAACCCTAAACCCTGAACCCTGAACCCTAAACCCTAAACCCTAAACCCTGAACCCTAAAGCCGAAAGAAGGCTAAATCCTAAATCCCGAAGCCGAAAGCCCTTGCAGACTGTAGGGAACCCTTATCTTCGGGGTACTTAGAAATAATTTTTGGTTATTATAATCCCTAAGAAACAGCTAAAATTATAATTTTTGCTAGGGTTCTAAGTCCAGTATAGTTATAGGAAACTCCAGAAAGTTGGAATATGGTTTCATGGTAGGATACCCCATGATTTACCATAGAAGGGCTAGGATAATCATATTCCAACTTTCTGGCTTTTACCTTATCGTAACCCTTCATGGGGAACCCGTGCGGTAACCCTGCGAGCTGGTTGTTGAGAAGCCTGGCAATGGCCTTACAATACATAGAGCCATGCTAGTTAGATCAGTAGCAAAGTAAGGTAAAGCATAGAATAGAAAGATCATTAAACAACTTATAACTGAAGTAATAAGAGCCTTTTCAGAAGAGGCCCAGCTCCGGGGGGAGATTGGGCCCTAAACCCGTTTGGACACGGGATACTGAGGCCGTCTAATCCCTTTTGCATGAGGGTTTAGGGTCCACGCATCACGTATCCATGACCCGAGGTTTTTACTGCCCCAAAACTAAATCTCTTCAGCCCCTAACCCGAATGGCCACCCTCATAGTAACTCTCATGAAAATCATTGCGGAAACTCCGAAAGCACCCCTTGTGGTAACCTTGACAGGAAAAGCCCTTACTGGGGGTCCCCCTAAACACAACCCCTAAAATCCCTAAACGCTCAACCCTGAACACCGAAACCTCTAAACCCTCAGCCCTGAGCCCTAAAGCCCAAAAACCCCTAACCCCTCAACCCAGACCCCCGGGGGAGGATCCAAAAAGTAGATCCAGTAATGGGGCTTCCTATAAAGTACCTTTCGATGCTACTAGGGTCCCAAATTAGGGGATTTAATTTTTAGATTTTTTGAAAGGGGGTCTGGGAAGTCGCCGAGGCCCTCGCCGACCTCACCTGGTCTAGCCAGAAGATGACCCTTGTGCAGCTGAGGAGAGTTGCAGGGTGCATTCTCTTACCTTTGGCTAGTAGGGAATGAAAGGGGCCTTATAAAGGGGTCTATAAGGGTTACTATAAGGGATCTATAAGGGTACTATAATATAGGGGCCTTTATAATCCTGTAACTTACCTTTGGTTAGTAGGGAATGGAGGAATGGGGTACAATTATAACTACTATTACTACCAGTCTTCCATTCCCTACTAACCAAAGGTAAGTTCTTGGCAGGGTTTTGCTGTGAATATAGGGGCCTAAGCAAGTACCTATACTAGTTTGGGGGTTCCTTATCAGGATGTAGAATAGTGGGCCCCGAACTCCTATTCTAATTATTAAGGCGCCTAGTGCTCTTTCGGCTTTAGGGTTGTTTTTTTGCTGTTTCGGTACTTCAATCGGGGTCTCTAATGGGGTTAATGGTTTAAGGGTTTCCGGAAGGGGTCGGGCTTCATGTTTGCAGTGTTCTCAACACGGCTGTTACAGGGTTGTATAGGACTTTAGGTCGGATTGTGTGAGATTCATTTTACACGCTTTGCCGCCTTGACCCCTCAAGGCTAGATCCAAAATCGTTTTTGAAGTCCCCGACTGTTAATCCTCAAAGCCCTAAGCCCATACCGATCACTTTTCAAGAAAGCATGCGAGGCTCAGGGTTTAGGCTGAAAGCTATCACTCCAAGGGTAAAAGGAGGGACCATTAATCAAGACCCCTAGGTATATATCCTTAACATAGCTATTATATACCCGTTATATAGCCCATTATAGGGTAGGGGTCCCCATTAAGGGTCCCTCCTTTTCCCCTTTGAATCACAGCACCAAAGCCCCATGCCAAGCTTGAACACATGGAGCTCTCAGGAGGCCTCATCCAACTTTGTCTTAGGGGTACTTAGAATTTGTTTTTTTAATTGAAACGCTGCGCGTCGTCCGCCTCGGCCCGGCTGTACGCGCATTCGGCGAGTGGCTACTATCTGCAGCAAGCTCTTGTAGGAAAAAAGTAACAGTTGGGAGGGAAGCGAAGAAAATTGGGTGGGACTGCCTGCAGAATCCACTGGAAAAGGCGAAAATTAATCGCCGGACCTTGGGGCTCATCGACACGTTTCCATTTTTTAGGGGGGGGGGGGCGGTGGCCACGATTTTGGGGGTGGGGTCACTGGGGAGGGGATTAAGAGGTGGGGAATAGGAGAATCCGAATAGGAACCTCTGACCGCTTCGGCCGGGGCCGAGGCGAATTATAAGCTATTTATAACCTTACTTACTAAGTCCCGTGATCCTCTAAGTGGTCGAAAACCGGCGTTGGGCCTGGCCTCTGGTAAGGCTGTGTGAATCGTTACGGCAGGCGTGAAAAATCCAACAGCTGCTTCAGAGCTGCAACTGATTGGGAGCTTCGGTATTTGGTGCTGAGCAGAGAGCCCACTTAGAGGATCATGATCCTTCGTAAACAGGCTATAGTTGGGTTTCTAAGTCCCCTAAGTGGGGTTATCCCAATCATAACCGACTTATAAGCTTACTTACTAAGTCCCATGAGCCTTTAAGCAATACCCCATAATTGAGGAATATACATACCGGAAATTATAAGGGGCAGCTGTACGCGCATGCGGCGAGTGGCTACTATCTGCAGCAAGCTCTTGTAGGGAAAAAAAGTAACAGTTGGAATCGCACTTATAGTAAAAGTAATGTTCATAGCAACACGAAGCAGGATGATTGTGAGTAGTATTAGTAGTGGTAGTATCAGTACGAATTTTGGTGTCGTCATTCCGAAACACTGGATACCAAGACTCTCGCAAGCGGCGGGATGCCTTAAGTATGGGCCGTTGAGGCTGTGGATTTCGTGGGCGTCTTGGATTAGGGAAGCATCACAGCCTTTTCAACCACGTTACTCCGCCTATCCCAACGAAAGGGCGTCTAAAACAAGCCTGAGACGCACATAAAGATGCTACATTGCAGTCCCGTGTCGTCGAAAACTCCAGAAAGCTCGCACCTGTCAGCGAGCGGAGGAGGGGCGGGAGGGAAGGGGGGGGGGGGGGGGGGGGGGGGGGGGGGGGGGGGGGGGGGGGGGGGGGGGGGGGGGGGGGGGGGGGGGGGGCAGGGGTGGCGGAGGGGACGGGAGGAAAACTGGGTGGGACTGCCTACAGACTGCCAAAATCCGTTGGAGGGGGCGAGAATTCACCACCGGACCTTGGGGGAATTTTTGGTTATTAAATATTATCGTCCTAAGAAACATCTAAAATTATATGTTTTGCTAGGGTTCTAAGTTCAGTATGTTGTTCCTGAACCCCAGGACCCTGCACTCTTAAGCTTCAGCCCCTAATGTCCAAACCCGCATGGATCCCAACCCCAAGCCTCGAACCCTAAAACCTAAACCCTAAACCCCTAAACCCTAAAGGATCCCTTTACAGGAACCCTAAACCCTAAACTGTCAATTGAAAGGAACCGTAAACCCCTAAACCCTAAAGGTTCCCTTTGAAGGAACCCCAAGCCTCGAACCCTAAAACCTCCTAGAACCAGGAACCCCAAACCCTAAACAGAACAGGGCGGGGTTCGTGCTCGTGAAAACATGGTGAAGGGGTCTGGGAGAACGGGGTGAAGCCTAAGTGACATGGTCGTCAAGAAGTGAGAAACCCTGACTAGGATGCCCAGTAGAACCCTTATTCCCTTTTTGTAGTCCTAGGTTCCTTATAAAGTTACCCAATACCAAAAAGAGAGGCCTTTTTATTCTTAGGTTACTGGGTATCCTAGCTGAACATGGAGCCCATTGACTCCAATATCCCTTAGTTCAGGAATATACCTTAAATTTTAGTAAGATCCCCAATTTGATTTAAGGAATACTTCTTAATTTTGGGATATTGGAGTCTCTGGCAACCCGGTGCTTCGCAACCTTAAACCCCAAACCTGGAAACCCTTCGGAAGCCTGGCAAAATCCCAGCTGGAAATCCCGTAACTTTATGAAGCCATGAAAAAAGATTCCGTAAAACCTCACGGAACCTCTTACATGCCAAAGATAAATTCTGTAACGTTTAGGTAGGAGGGATCCCGTACAACCCTGCAGAGCCTTTTTGCATGCCAAAGATAGTCCCCCCCCGCCCCGTTCCGCCAACATCTCCAGGAGCGCCCTCAGCGCGGAGTCCAACATGAAGCCTGCTCTGAAGGTTCCGCGAAGAAGTTTTATGGTTATTAGGGTTTAGGGTTTCAGGGTTTCAGGGTTTAGGGTTTAGGTTTAGGGGTTTAGGGTTTCAGGGTTTCAGGGTTCATTTTTAGGGCCCATATGTAAGTTTCAATGCCTCAACCCGATAACCTCCAAGCTGAACACTTGGGCGCACGCACCCCCGGAGATTCCGCTCGTAAAGCCGCATACAGCAAGCTCTCTTAGAAGCCCTATGACACTTTGGAGCCCTGCTACTATAGACACTCTAGAGATGCTGTGGAAGCCTTCACGCAAACCTGCGCAAACCTACAGAAACCGATGGAAACCTACGGAAAATCCATGGAAACCGTTTTGAGAGTCCCAAAGCCGTGGGAAGCCGCGCGCGTGCGCGTCCAGCAACGGGGAGGCCAAGGTGTTAGAGCTTCTGGCCGATGAGAGCGGTGAGGACAAGGCCGGGCCTTAATAATAGTCATAGGAGGTAACCCCCTTTAAAGGGATCTATAAGGGTTCCTTTAAGAGTTCCTATAAGGGACCCAGACCCCCGGACTGTAAAAGAGGTTTTAGCCTATGGGGGCTTAGTAGGGATTAGGGTTCCCACAGTTACTTTCAGGAATCCCTACCCCGAGAATCTTAAACACCCCTTTTGGCCTCCCATCAAATAAGGACTTAGTAAGTAGGGGTTTAGGGTATAGGGTTTTTTTTAGGGGGTATATTCTAGTAGAACAGCATAACCATATTATGGGACAAGGCCGGGACTCCTCTTGGGGTACCTTTTAAAGGGTTCCGTAAAGGGATACTGTAAGGGATAAGGGCACTATGATATAGGGGCCTTCAGACTAGTTTTTGTTGGGGCTTAGTGTTTAGGGTTTAGGACTTCGTAAGTATGGGTACTAAAAGAATAAGCGTTTCTATAAGGGGTTCCTTAAAGGTCTCCTTACAGGGATCTAGACGGTTTAGGGTTTAGGGCCTGCAGCCTGGCGGATGAACTGTTGGGTTTCGGGTGTTTGGGTTTTCAAGGTATAACCATATCCTCGCATCACCATAGTCTGGAACTTGGAGGAATAGCAGGATTACTTCTATTCTGGTTCCCAAGCCCCAAATCTCAGAAAGTTGACAAAGCCTCCTTTGAGAAGCCCGATCGCCCTCGTAAGCCATGGGCAAAACGCCCTGTGCAGGAGACGGCGGAGAAGGAGTCGGAGGAGAGCTCGGTTTAGGGTTTAGGGTTTAGTTGCAGGGTTGGTTCCGTTGAAGAGAGTCATTGCGCCATAAATCCCATGATGTCGGGCCGTAACAATCAGTAATGCTCTTCTTTAGCGTTTCCGTATATGCTTGAAGCTCCCGAAATCCGTGGTTTCATTATTTGGGGCCCGGTATTGCGCTGTATCTCAGAACCTTAGCTTCAAAGCTTGCATGCCGTTCCCCATGCAGGACGCAGAAGAAGACGACGGCTTTACAAAAGAAGAAGCTCGGCTATGAAAGTCTTGATGGAAGTGCAGCAATCGATGGGATGTAGGGTTTAGGATTTAGGTTTGTGGTGTCGGCTTGCGGCTCATGTCCTCAGATGCTACCGGTGTTATGTGGGTAGCTTGCGCTCGGAGAGCTGAAGTTGCTTGAGTCTGTGCAGCCATCGACGCTCAAGAACTGCAAAAGCTCCAGGGTGCAGTATTGCCCATCCTCTTGGCAGAATGGTTTCCTCCGTCTTGGCCGTGGTGCTCGTCGCCTCCTCCTTGGCATCTCTTATGCAGCAGGCTTCCGCAGAATTTCTCCGAGGCGAGATTCAGAACAGGACGGGCATGCAGGAGCTTTCTCTGCTCTCTGTTGCAACTGGCTGCAGCGCCGCGGATGAAGCTGCGATGTCGAAGCTGGGCTCTGGAAATGCTGACGGAACCTTCCCCAAGTACTTGGCGGTATGTGGACAGCGGAACTACAACATCTTCTTTGGCTTCAATAGCCCCAACTACGTTGCCTGCGTAGAGGGGGATACCGGCATCAGCAGCTCCTGCGCACAGTGCTTCGTGAAGTCTGCCAAGTACGGGGCAGACAACTGCAAGTTGAGCTGCTTGTTCGGTGTCTCGGCCGGGTAGGCCGTTAAGAAGTTATATAGGCAGCAGCGCGGTTCTGCAAGGATTGTGGAGCCTGAAGAAGCGGATACGGGTCCGACGAAGTGACAGGCAGTTTTGAGGTGCGTTTAGGCGTTTAGCACAGCCAGCAAGGCTCTATAAACTGGGTTCTTGTTAAGGAATTTAGTTTTAAGTTACCACAATAGGGATCTATAGTAAATTATAAGGTCTCCTCATCATGGTAAGTTAAATCCCTTAAGAACCGAGTTAACTAAGCCCTCAACCCCAGGCTCCTGGTGTGGTTCCAGCTGCCTCGACTGCGTGGCGGCCGCCACGAAGGACACCGAAACTTGCGCCGGAGTCGCAGTTCCCTCTGCCGCCACCTGTAGGTGAGGCAGAGACATCTTTTGAGTGAATTTTGCAGGTCAAGAGAGGCTCTTGATCCACCTAAGCAGCTCTGCTGCCTTCCCTACCACATTGAGTGCCCATGTACAGGATCGCACTCATTGTGTTCCAATCAGTGTGGCAAACGACCACTCTCACAGGCTTGCAGCGGCCACCTCCAGATTCGTACAGTGCGGAGACGTCAAACAAGCTTCACAAGTCCACCTCCGTCTCGGCCAGACATGCTTGAGTGGTGCTGTCGAAGTGGCCTGAAGGATTACGAGTACCCAGAAACTAAAATCAAAAGCTGTCACTGTAGCTGAAACGCGTGTGGAGCGCGCGGTTTCATCTCAGGAGTGGATGGAGTTCTTCAAGGAAGACGGGGACATCAACAAAGAGGAGTGACATCGGGGGGGGGGGGGCTTGGGTTTCAATATAACTAGACTCTTTGCCTGGTTTTGCAACCTTGATTGTAACCCTTGAAGTAGCCTTTGCACTGCCCTGCACTCTAAACCCTAAAAGCCCTAAACCCTAAAAGCCTAAAAGCCCTAAACCCTAAAAGCCTTAAACCCTAAACCCAAAGCCCTAAACCCTAAACCCTAAAAGCCCGAAACCCTCAAAGGAGCTAAAGGTCCTTGATGGGCTCCTTGAGAAGATGGATGTCTCCGGCCAGCTGCCTGAGATGTAAAGGGCCGTCTGTTTAGGGGTTCAGGGGTTTAAGGGGCTTTGGGGTTCTGTTGCATTTGAGGGTTTGGGTGCAGGGTTCAGGGTTTTAAGGGTTTTAAGGGTTTTGCGTTTATTTTAAGGTTTAGGTTTGGGGTTAGGGGGCTTAGGGTATGCGGAACCCAATGGGTACAGTAACTCTTTTTGGTGAATCGGTCAGTCAGTTCCCAAGCCACAAGCAACCGCTGTTGGTCGCTGTTGGGATGGCATAGCTGCTGTAACCAGAGAACGCAAAACTCCTTGACATACGGCATGCCCTTCAACTTATAGAAGAAACTGTAAAATGATTTTAAGTTGATTGCTCATGGATCTAGTTTACCTAATGTGATGAAGTAATTATGATTTAAGTATGACTTATATCTATGGTTTATGGTCTCGAGTCTAGAGTGCACCGTTGAGGAACAGCATGTTTCGTCTTGCTCTCTCTCCCTAAAAACCCGAAACTCCTGGAAAGTTCTTTCATCCGGAACATCCACCGGCCGAGGCGACGGCCGAGTCTCTTCGGATGAGATCAAGGCGCTTGGGGGTGTTTAGGGTTTCGGATTACGGGTTCCTTTAAGGGATCTACACTTGGAGGATCATGGGACTTAGTAGCTGGGGTTATAATTAGGGTAACTGTACTTACAACTACTTTTAATCCCAGTTAAGGTGCTTAAAACCCTAAACCCTAAACCCTAAACCCCTAAACCCTAAACCCTAAACCGAACTTATAACCTTACTTACTAAGTCCCACGATCCTCCAAGTAGGGTTTCGGAGCAAGGGCTCTGGGTGAAGGCTCTAGGACACGCGCTCCAAGAAGGGTTCGATGAGCTTACGGTTTAGGGTTTAGGGTTTAGGGTTTGGGTTTAGGGTTTAGGGTTTAGGGTTTTTCAGTCAGGGTCTTGATGGTATTCTATACGACAAGGGCTTCTGTAGCTTGTTGTAGAGCTCTCAGAGGGGTTTGGGCACAGCGACCTCAGCGATTCCGAACCCTACCCTATAGTCTCCATTGTAGTTCCTTTTTGGGGTTAGGATCCTTGATATAAAATTGGTTAAACCAGAAAAGGAACTACAATGGAGACTATAGGTATGCCTCAAGGAGCACTGGAAGGCATAATTTCTGAACCCTGGAGTCCTATATACTGGGATGCCCAGTAGTACCCTTATTCCCTTTTTGTAGTCCTAGGTTCCTTATAAAGTTACCCAATACCAAAAAGAGAGGCCTTTTTATTCTTAGGTTACTGGGTATCCTAGTATAAAATTATAAGGACCCTTCAGAAAGATCTCTGCACTGTTTTGTAGAAGCCTTATAGAACCTGTGGTTTGGGAACTCTCAAACATGCTCTTCTAAACTCTAAACAATGTCTGTGCAATCCCTGTCGGAATCCGCAGAAAACCTGAGAAGCCCTTGTGAAGACCCTTCCTTCCACACTTCTAGAAGCTACAGCTCTAAACCCTTAAGACCTTTCTAAACTCTGAATCCTAAACCCTAAAACCGCAAACCCTAAACCCTAAACCCCAAACCCTAATCCTTAAACTTTTTAAGACCCTGACAGCTCTCCAAGAGCTTTGCTGCTCGAAATCTGCAAGGCGGCGCTGGCGCGCAAAGATTTGGAAATGCCAGAGGTGGGCAGCTGCAGGGGCTTAGGGTTTCAGGGTTTACGGGTTAAGGGGTTTAGGGGTTTAGGGGTTTGGGGAAAAGAGTCAGAGGGGTATCAGGTTTAGGGGCTTTAGGGTTTAATTAGGGTTTAGGGTTTCAGGTTCGGGGTTTAGGGTTAGGGTGGGGGCGGCAATACTGTTTTCTTTTTTTATTTTTACATTTTTTTGCTTGACGTGTATGAATTCCGGCGAGGTGTGGCGGCTTCGTGTTAGGGAGGGGTTCGGGACTCTAGTGGACTAGTTTTGCAGGCTTGCAAGGTGATCCACGAAGCCCCTCATAAAAAAACCCATGGGCGTTCGAGAAACCTTAAACCCCAAACCCCTAAACCCCTAAACCCCCAATGCCCTACTTAAAGGATCATGGGACTTAGTAACTCAGGTTATAGCTAGGGTAACTATACTTATAACTACTTATAACCCCAGTTAAGGTACTTTTAACCTTACTTACTAAGTCCCATGATCCTTTAAGTAAGCTCCCAGACTCCTAAACTCCTAAACCCCTAAAGCCAGCCCTCAAGCCTTAAAGTAAAAGCCAGAAAGTTGGAATATGATTATCCTAAGCCCTTTATGGTAAATTATAAGGTATCCTACCTTGAAACCATATTCCAACTTTCTGGAGTTCCCTTTAACCCCATGCACAACCAGCCGTGGGAAGGCGATCCGCTCCAAGCTTGTGGAGTTCATGAAGGACGTAGAGCCCCGCGGAGGAATCAGGGGCTTCAAAGGGGTTCGGCTTTCTTGAGGGTTCAGGGGAGTAGCTATCATAGTATAACATAGTACAGAATCACATATGTCTTTATTACAACACAGCATATTACATTATTATAACATAGTATGTTATAACATATGTTTTCGTAACATACTGTAGTGTAATTTGAGCATGAAGTCGGGCCGTGTCCTAGACCTAGACAGGCATGGTCCAAGCGAGGAAGGACTTGCCATGATATGCAGGGCTCATTTGCTCCTCCCACCGCCTGCCCCAACCCTCCCAGATCACAAGACGAAGATTCCAACGCCCTAAGCACTGACCCAAACTCCCTACAGACCCCCTCCGGCCCAGGTGAAGTTGGCTGGAGATAGTGCGCAGTTGCTCGTGGCCGTGATCCAGGACATGAACAGTTCATATCATCATTCACTACTCCAGTCTCTTTAGGATTTCCTTTTCATTTTTGTGTGTATAAAACCCAAAAGAATATTGAACAATGATAATTTTTATTGTGGTTCCAAGGCGGGCATAGACTACCCAGCTGATCCCAATACAGCTTAATCAAGGTATAGGCGTGAAATCAGAATATTAAGGCCCCTATAACTTAAGGTATATTCCTTCATTAAGGGGTATTGGGTTCTCTGGATACTCTTGTTACATGGACTGCCACTGAAGGCCGCTTGAAGCTCTGATATTCTTTACAAATTGAAGACAGCGATGCAGACGCATGAAACAGATAGGCCGGGTTTAGGCGTTATAGGGTTCAGGGCTTGGTGGTTTAGGGTTTGGGGTTTCTAACTAGGGCCTTCTTGGCGGCAACGCTTGCAGGACCCGTTCGTCCGAGCCGCATGTGATGGAGCTGCTGCAGACGATTCAGTTGAGCCTTGGGTTTTGGTATCATGGACCAGTCAACATGAGAGTTCTACGTGGGCCTCCCACTGTTGCGGCAGGGCTAACTAACCCCAACCTGGGAGAGTACGGACAGCTTCCAAGACAACACAACGTCAGATCGCAGCAGTTTAAAGTGCCGAAGCCAGCCCAGGTCAAGGTGGAGATCGTGTGCCGATCAGAGCCGACGGAAGCTGATGTCTCTGAGGAGGCACCACACCAGCATGGCGGCGCTGACATGACTATCGTCTGAGAGCATAGGGGCGTAGCGTATATGGCATGCATGGCTTGGGAAGGAGTGCGAGCGGCTGCAAGCTTGTTCCTGCGCATCGGCATGGAGTGGTCAGCAGCTCAGACGGCTCAGAGCATCGCCGTCATGTTGGGGGGCTCGGGACTCGGGAAATGTAGCAGTTGCCCAGCCAGCGGCTCAAGACACTTTGAAAAGCCGCGCAAGCTTTGGCTGCTTCGCAGCTGCGCTCTGCCTAATGTCGGCGGAGCAAATATCGCTCATGTTTGATCAATTACGTGATCACGTATGTTAGACTCTTTGTTACGATTGTGCTGCGATGTGCTAGGCTCCGCAGTTGTAGCGCGCCAAACATGCGAAACCCAACAAACCCGCAACTCATGAAACGCGAACACCGTCGGACTTACAATCCTAAACTCCGCCCCCGAATATAGGGCTTAAACAATCACCTATTGCATTCTGGAGGTTCCTGATTAGAATTATAGTATAAAGGGCCACCGAAAACCTGTTCTAAATATGAAGGACCCTTTTTTTACAGAAATTTTGTTTTTCCATGCAATTTCCTTTCGGTTGAGGGTTTGCGGTTCCCACCCAGGCTTCGCTGACTTGGAGGATCATGGGACTTAGTAAGTGGGGTTAGAAGTAATGTAACTATACTTATCATTCCTTTTTACCCTATTTAAGGCACTTAAAACCCTACTTACTAAGTCCCATGATCCTCCAAGCATGAAATTAGGGACCCAAAAAGCACATAAGCGTAAACATCTTATAGGGATATCCCTACCTTATTGGGTTTCATTGTAAGGGGGCTTATATGGGATATCCCTATCCTAATTTTTGCTTATGTGCTTTTCCGGGGCCCTATGAAAGGCTCATTCGGGAGGGCTGAGTAGGCCGCGGCCGCACCTCTACTTTCTTTCCCTTCCCAATCGCCTGAAGCAACTTGAGGCCTAAAACCTAAAACCCTAAACCCTAAACCCAGAGAGCCCAATACCCCTTAATTCAGGAATATAGCTCAAATCATAATATCAAGCCCCTTATGATTTAAGCCATATTCCTTAATTACGGGGTATTGGGCTCCTACCTTAACCCTGAATAACCAACCTTTTCAGGGTTAATTATTATGATTTCCTTATATAAGTCCTTACAAAGGTAGGTCCTTCAGGCCTAAACCCTGTACCCAAGCTGAGCTCCGGAACTTCGTCTGAGGTATCTCCGGCGGCCGGTCCCTCTGACGCCCTGGCGGCCTGTTGACGCGCTCGAGCTTGGATGATATAAATCCGGCATTACCCATAGTGAAGAATACACCATAATTACCATAGCTTATGGCCATTGAGGTAATGCAGGATTTGTATTATCCCCGTAGCTCTACCGTAGCTCCGTTGTTCTCTTCTCGAGAGTGCGTGCCGAAATTTTGAATCTCGAAACCTACACCCGAAATCCGGAAGCAGTATCAAGCCTCTGTGCCGGGTGCAGGCCACAACCGTCGGTTTCACCGGACAGTTGGAAAGGTTCTCATGCGTTCCAGCAGTCCAGCAGAACCTCAACCCATATCACGGGCCCCTTTTGTCCTCTATTGTACTTTACCGTACTATCTATCCTACTATCCATATCCAGCTTTCCTTTCTTGTCCTCTACTCGACCCTACTGTACTATGTTATGCATGCTATCCTGCGCTCTATTGTGTTGCACTGTACTTTGCTATGCAATGCTTATGCTCGACTGATAGATGATTTCTGGTCTTTTTTGCAATCTCCTGCTTCACCCCGCAGGACCCTTACCCTAAACCCTAAAGCCCTAAGCCCTAAACTTCATAGACCCCGTTAAGCCAAGAGCTTCAAGAAAGATCCGTGGCCTGGACGCGTAACGTTCTGAGTGGCGAAAAGTGGTCATGTCTCCTCGCAGTAGATAGAGTCTGGGGTCTAGGGTTTAGTAAGTGGTTCAGGATTTACAGTAGGGGTTGGGGGTCTTTCACGGTCCAGCCAATGTAACCCCTTAACTGGCCTAAACCCTAAACTCCCCCTCTACCCTAAACCCTAAACCCCCCTCTACCCTATTCAGCACGAAGCTTCAGGAGGTGGGCAATGATCTAGATTTGTCTTCAGGATTTCGGGCTTGAGGCCCACGTTCTAGATCCCTAAACCCTGAACGTGATGTGAAGGTTCTTTTTCCTGGGCTTCCTAAGCTTCCTGGACCCTAAGGAACCTGCCTTTTTAGGGTTCCCTAAAATGATTTCTTTATATAAGTCCCTAAAAATGTAGGTTACTTGGGGTTAAGGTTGCTCATCAGTCCTAGACCGTCGCTGAGCCGGCAAAGCTGTGGGGCCTGCGCGGTGAACTGAGGTCCTGGACACCATATGGGAGTTATTTTGGGGGTCCTTATAATAAGGATCCTACTATTTAGGGTACCATATAACGGAAACTACCATATAACCCAGGCTGTTCAGTGGTACACTTTTTTGCTTTCAGGTTTCTGGGTTCCTATTATAAAATAAGAAGCCTAGAAAAGGATATACTTTTTCCCAGTGGGTTACTGAACAGCCTAGTAACCATGTGAAGATCTACACAGTCTAAACACCCTCTATCGCTCAATCAAACCCATAGGGCTCGCAAAAACACTACAAAACCTCATGCGTTTAAAGCCCTGAAGCACGGACCCGACACATCCGCTATGTATTACACACCTATACACACTATAAACTACAAAACTATGTACAGTACTATATACTGTTATTATACATTACACACTATTATACTGGGACCTTGTTACAGGATTTAGTTTAAGTTGCCATACTAGAAACCTGCAGTCAAAACCTTTTTCCTTATTATAGCAACTTAAATTAAATCCCTTCGCAAGAACTTTTCGGGTATTAGATTTAGGGTATCGTTCAGTTTTTTTTTATTTGAAGGTCTAGGGTTTAGGTTTGGGTCTAGGGGAACAAGAAGCCCAGTAGACACTGTACCCTAAACCCTAAACCCTAAAACCCTAAACCCTAAAACCCTAAACCGCCCCTCGCGCAGGTGGACATCGAGGCACTCGGCCAGGCACTTCAGGTCGTCGAGCAGAAGAACTTGGAGTACATGAACAGGATCCACAAACAGGAGAGCGGTCTAGGGTTTAGGGTTTGGGGTTTAGGGTTTAGGGTTTAGGATTTAGGGTTTAGGGTTTAGGGTTTAGGATTTAGTTAGGATTTAGGGTTTAGGGTTTAGGGATCCACAAACAGGAGAGCGATTGGTTGCATTTTGCTATTGCCTGAAAGGGGTTCCTCGACGGGCTACTGTTTACTGGGGTGAACACAAAGGCTTCAGCGGTTTAGAGGTTGACGGTTGAGGGACAAGTTTGCGATGATTGGGTCACGGTACTGGAGGACAGTTGTTTTTGTCCAGGGGCCGCGAGGTTTAGGGTTTACGGAATGTGCAAGTTAGCATTAAGGGTGGCTTTGGAATGTTCCGTGCTGGTTGTAATGCACGCGGTGCACACGTCCAGCGAGGTGCCCTCCGACGGATCAGCGAAAACCTTGCATAGGTGTTTGAATATCAATAGGAATTCTCCGTCCTAGCTCTGTGGTACAGGTGTCGAGACGAGATAACAGCTTGAATCCCTCCTTAGTATTCCTTGTTATAAGTATCGGAAACAGTACACCCAAACCCAAGTCTTATTAAGGCCCCTTGTAACAAAAAGCCCTCTGCCCTAAACCCTAAATACCCTAAATGGCCTAAATGGCCCAAACTTCCTAAACGCTCCAAGCCCTAAACCTACCTGTGCGGGCTCCAGGAAACCCGTGAGCAGCAGCTCAAGGGCGAGAACTCCACGCTGCAGGAGGAGGCCGGCTTTGAGTGTTCCCAAACCTTCCAAAATATCTTAAAAGAAGGACTATATCATGTTGGGAAGTCTAATTAAGGAATGTATTCAGGTTTGGTTTTCAATGAGGGTTCAGGGAGGGTTTACAGTCGGTTTTGTTTGGGTTTGGTTTATCTAGGGTGTAGGCTTAGAATATAAGACCCGGAAACTATGTTCTGATTATTCAGGCCCGTCTACTAGACCCTTGTACCTCGAAGAAACCTTGTAAGAGAATGTTCGCGCTTTGCAAGTGCTTGTTTCTGCGATCAGTTTCATTGTTCTCCTGAGCACAGGTGGAATCCATCCGCTCCGAGATAGGCCAGCGATCGCGCTCGAGGTTTTCCGGTTTGTCTGTTCAGGTTCAGGAGCAGGCGTCGAGAACGCAGGAGTGTAGGGGTTCGGTGCTTGGCCGTTCAACCCTAGACCCTAAACCCCTAAACCCCTAAACCCCTAAACCCTAAACCCTAAGGGTTTAGGGTGTTCAGACTATGGAGCTCCGTACAGTATAACTATACAACCACCCAAGACCCTAAGTATGAGCATGTTTCGCCCTAAGCCCCCAGACAGCCCAATATCCTTTAATTAAAGAGTATACCTTAAATCATATCAGGGATCCTGTTATAATTTCAGGTATATTCCTTAATTAAGGGGTATTGGGATCTCTGGCCCCTAAACCATCGAACCCTAAGCAAGGGCTTCCATAAGGTCTGGTGAGGGTCATAGAACAGGGGTCGGCATAAATGCCAGGAGTATGCTTTAAGGATCCCAGGGTCTCTGCAAGGGTTGTTCAGGGTGTTTGGAGGACCGGGACTGCTTAAAGGATCATGGGACTTAGTAAGTGGGGTTATAATTAGGGGAACTATACTTATAACTACGTATAACCACAGTTGAGGTACTTATAAGCCTACTTACGAAGTTCCATGACCTATAGATCCCTTTAAGAACCCCTATCGATACCTTTAAGGAGCCCTTTTAACCCCACTTACTAAGTCGCATACTTGTTTTATGCACAGCGATGTCCTGGTCTTCCAAGATGCTTTAACTACGGAACACCCGTTAACCCGTGATAGGATTCCTTCTGTGACTCAAGAAGTAGTGTAGGAACTTGATTAAGAAACCCTGGCCCTATAAGCCATATTTAGATATATACACATGTATATATATATATATACATATGTAAATATATTGGGCTTTATAATGTAGAGAACCCTAAGAAAGCCCCAGGCTTTCTTGACTAGGTTCCTACATAATTGCTGAATGAAGGCACATTGGAAGATCCGGGTGGCTATAGTTACGGGCAAGGGATGTGTGACAGCTGCTCCCAACCCCCCCAAACCCTAAACTCTACTCTAAGCCCCAAACCTATGATATCGTAAACGGCAGTAGTACTGCTGTCACGTTGACTGGGTAGAGAACCAAAACACGAATGAATGAATAAACAAATAACAACTAAATCTGAACATACATCAAAAAGTGAATACATACATATATGTATATATATATATATATATATATATGTATCTTACCTGCGTCTCGACAAACCCTAAACTTAAACCTTAAACCTATGCCATGCTAAACGGCAGAGCACATCCGAATCCCGGGCCCTTGCAGACGCTTTGCGGAAGCAGCTGGAGGGTGACGAAGAGAGTCGGACGCAGCCAGAGACTGAGAATTGCTTGAAGCCCTAAAAGCTAAACCCTAAGCCCCAAACTGTAGTTAACCCCGACTATGTTCTGTGAAGGACAGCAGAAGGTAGATTTTCCTCGGCATTTTTCCCCGTAGCATGCTGATTTAGTGTATGCCTTTTTCTGAGTATGTGATCCAGTGTATGCCCTTTTCTGGGTAGACGCGCTTTGGAGAAAGGAGCGTCAAACGGCAGTTAACGTACTTACGACCCAAGTTTAGCTGCCGTCGCAGGTGCATAAATTCTAAAAGCAATGAAGTAATGCTTGACCAGACTACCCGGAGAAACCCGTGCAAAGCCAACATAGAAGCCCATCAAGCCTTAAGCAAGCCCTTTATAAACCACAAAGTACTTTTAAAACTCGTACAAGAATCCGCTGAATTTCTCTAATCCTTACGAAGCCCTAGAAAGGCTTACAATCCCATGCAACACGCCCTTCCAGAATCCTTGGCCTCACCCAGCGCACCAAGAAACCCAATAGCCTAAGTCCCTAAGAGTAATTCATAGGGAATCCAAGCACTATTCGGCCTCAATCCGTTTTCCAACTGTATGGGGCTTGCTACAGGGGATCTATAAGGTTTAGGGCTTTAGGGCTTTAGGGGGTTAAGGGCTCTAGGGTTTAGGGTTCTAAGGGGGTTTAGATTACTGTAAACCCTACACCTACACTCTACCCCTAAAGCCCTCGATCCAAACACTCTACACCCTACGCTTCCCACCCTAAATCCTAAGCCCTACATCCTACACCCTGCGCCCCACACCCTAAATCCTACACTCCACGCCCTCAACTCCCAAAACCCTAACCCTAAAACTCTACACCTCATACCCTAACTCTTACATTGTCTCGGACCTAGAGTAGGCCCTTATTCCCTGTTTTGGGGGTTCCGGTTCCCTTATAAGCCCCTTTAAACCAAAAAGGGCACCCTTTTTTTCCTAGGCTACTCTTGGGTCTAGTTGTCCTTACTTGGAGGCCCTTTTGACTTAGTAACTAGGATTACTAAGCTGGGTTATGGGGATTATAATAGGGTTTCTAGGGGATACTAAGTAGACTTACTAAGTCAAAAGGGCCTCCAAGTAGGGTTTACCCAGAGGCTCCATAGTAGCTCCTTTTTGGGATTCCCTTACAGGATTCTATATATGAACCCCAAAAAGGAAAGAGTAAGTTGCGTGGACCGAGTTTCGAACGAGCTCGAAGCCAATTGGAGATGACCATCGAGTCCCTCGAGGTACGGAAAAGGTTCCTTATTATAGTGTTTAGGGTTTTAGGGTTTAGGGTTTAGGGTTTAGGGTAGTGTTTGGGGTTTCGGGTGTATGGTGTATGATAAGAATAATGTAGAGTGTGTAATAAGAGTATTACAATAGCACTATATGGAAGAATAGTATCATAATAGTATTATAGTGTACGGTTCTGTTTCTGTGTGCAAGGTGTTTCTCCCACCAGAGATTTTCTTTTGCATTCTGCTTTGCAGATCCAACCCCAAATTATAGTGTTTAGGGTTGGGGTTTAGGGTGTATAACAAGAACATATAGCGCAGAGTATATAGTAATGGTATTTTTAATAGCACTATATGTAAGAATAGTATCATAACAATATTATCGTAGTAGTTCAATATTAGTATAACATTCTTCAATCAGTCTCACAATATTTGTAAAATAACAGTGTTGCAATAGTGTTATTGTAGTGTCATGGTATATATAAGGGTTCTATAAGGCGTTCTATGGCTGACGGCTTTAGGGTTTGAGGTGTGCGAAGGTCTTTTTTTGGCAGCGTTGATCAAGTGATTGTTGTTAGTGTTAGTTTTCATTTTCTAACGTTGTTATTGTTAGCATCGCGAAAAGAGCGCTGGTTCGAGCTTTCAGCACTGGTGCTTTACATATACTCATCGAGTTGTATTTCGGTTTTGAAAATACTTTGGATGGCCGGGCACTGTTGCCTACATTGTTTTGACGGTGGTACGATTGCTGGTATTCATTCTTCTTACCCTAGGCGTTGAATGAAGTTCTTATCCTTTATCACTGCTGCAGCTGCCGTTGCCTGCCGCTGCCACTGCCTGCTGCCTCGTTGCTGTTGTTGTTATTGCTGACGGCGTTGCTCTCTAGTGTTAACATTGTAACAAAGTTGTTCGGTGTTGCCTTTGCTTTTCATTGTCGTATTTTCCTGAGCAATCTTCAACTTAACCTGATGGGTGTGCTATGCGCAGACTCCCAAATTAGTTAAGGTTCGGGGGCAGTCACCACCCGAGTTGAAAAGAAGTTCTGTTTTAGCAAGATGTGACTACAACCGTAGTTTAAGGTTGAGCTCCCCGAAGCCCCATTCTACTCATGCTATGGCCCTGAATATCCTCAAACCCTACACTGGTTGCCCATGATATCCTTCCTAGGACCCAGAGTAGGCCCTTATTCCCTTATTTAGGGTTCAGGTTCCCTTATAAGCCCCTTTAAACCAAAAAGGGCATCCTTGTTCTGCCTGGGTTACTCTTGGGTCTAGCTTCTTTCACAGGTTCAGGTGGACACTCTGAAGAAGGCGTTGAGCACTGCCGAGCGTCCGGGGCCCGGCAGCAGGGAGCCCGCCTTTGAACGAAAAAAGGATACCTGCAACCGAATGCCACGAGTTATGTGGTCTAGGACCCAGAGTAGGCCCTTATTCCCTTTTTTGAGGCTTAGGTTCCCTTATAAACCCCCTTTAAACCAAAAAGGGCGTCCTTTTTATTCCTAGGCTACTCTTAGGTCTAGTGGTTTATGTAGTTTTTGAGAGGGTCTTCGTAGGCTGCTTTGCGGGTATCCGGTCATGAGGATTGTAAAGCGCTCTGGCAACGGTGATACTACACTTTACGCGAGTTTCATGGATGCTTAGCAGTTTTCCTGGGTACCCATGAGCAGGGTTTGGCTTACCTCGAATGTGTGTTGATTCTCAGACATTGTTTGTGGCACCAAGTATGTAGGCTCCCTGGAGCTCTCATATCTAGATGCTCAGAGAGCTCAGTACAAATTGAATGTGGAACACTCCTCAAGCTGTGAAGCTACCCTCCAGATGACTGCCACCAGCTATACTATAGTAACTGTACTGTTTGCTTGGAATGTTTGGGCTTCCCTTGTGCTGTAACCTCAAACCCCAAACCCTAAAACCCTAAACCCTAAGCCCTAAACCCTAAACCTTAAAACCCCGACACCCTAATGCCCTAAACTCCTAATACCCTAAACCCTAAAACCCTAAAACCCTAACACCCTAATACCCTAAACCTAAACCCGCAAGGTCCCATGGAACTCGAAAGGATTTGGGACTACTCTCAAAGGAACCCTTATAGATCCCTTTAAAGGAGCCCCGAAGGGTCGGAAACTGCCCAGAGGCTATACTTGGAGGCCCTTTTGACTTAGTAAGTAGGGTTAGTAAGGTGGGTTATGGGGATTATAATAGGGTTTCTGGGGGATACTAAGTAGACTTACTAAGTCAACAGGGCCTCCAAGTAACCCTTAAGCCCAAACCTAGACCCTGAACCTTCAAATAAAAAAAGCACTGAAGGATACCCTAAATCTAATGCCCAAAAGCGGGTGGGGGGGGGGGGACTCATTTAAGTTACTAAAATAAGGAAGCCCTATTATTTACCATAGCTGCTTATTATGGTAGCTTAAATTAAACTCCTGTAACAAGAACCCAGTATAACAGTGTATAATGTATACTAACGGTATATAATAAGGTACATCGTATACAGTTTATAGTGTATAGGTGTATAATACATAGCTGATGCATCGGGTCCAGCTTTGGGATTAAGTTACCATTATAAAGGAAACCCTATGTGGCTGCTTATTGTGGTTATGGTAGCTAATGTAAATTCCTGTAATAAGAATTTAGTTTTTAAAGCCTAAACCCTAAACCCTAAACCCTAGACTCAATCCGTGCTCAGGTGCCAACGAGCAGCTGCAGGACGAGAACCGAACCACCGCAGATAGGCACCGCTGACCCGGGCCTGGTGGGACCGGGCTCCTTAAAGGGATCTATGGGGTTCTTCAAAGGGATCTATGGGGTTCCTTAAAGGGATCTACAGGGTTTAGGGTTTAGGGTTTACTTGGAGAGGAGCATAAGTCAGGTTTACAATACCTTCATTGGGGTGAGTAAGGCGGTTATCAGTAGTGTTATAGCTGGGGTAACACCATTTAGGGTACTTATAACTCTACATATGACCTACTTACTAAGTCCACTGGGCCTCTAAGTACAATGCTTACCCTTCAAGTCAGCCCTCCCGAAGCCCTTGAACCAAGAACCCGAGATCAAGGTTAGGATCGTAGTAAAAGTGGTTCAAGAAATTAGTAGTAGATCGTCCCTCAGCAATTTTGCAGTAGTCCACTCCGAAACCCCATGCTAGACCCCTATACTAAATCCTATAGCCCTATGACAACCCTTTTTGCTTCCTAAAGCCAGAAGAGCCGACTTCGCGCTGCACTGAAACCTTGGGTCCTTGCCACTTTCGAACCTCGGAGACGACGCGTTCGGGGGGATGTTATAAGATGATCGAATAACATCATAGGGGCCTCAATATGGGAGTTTCGTGCCCCGGAACCTTATTCTAATTATTAAGCCCCCTTTCCCTAAACCCTAAACCCCTAAACCCTGCATCAGAGCCCTTGTGAAGGTGTCGCGAGACGGCCGACAAGGCCAGAGGATGTCGCTGCCCTTTGCATGTCGGGGTGTTAAGCACCCAACAAGGACATAAGCATAAGCATTTTGTAGGGATATCCCTACCTTATTGGGCTTCATGAAAAGGGGGGTTTATATGGGACATCTTAGAAGGTCCCCCCACCTGTAATGGTGACTATAAGGATTATATTAGGGCCCTATTCTATTCCTATTATACCACTTTTGCAGGGTGGGGGCCCCTTCTAAGGGACATCCATATCATACCCTAAACCCTAAACCCTAATGATAAGCCTGAGCTCTAAACCTAAACAGAACCCAGAGAGCCCTATGTATCCCTTAATTAAGGAATATACCTATAGGGTTCCTTTAAAAGGGTTCCTTTGAAAGGGGTTCAAAAGGCATCTATAGGGATTAGGGTTTCCGATACCTCTTAATCAAGGAATATAGCTTAAACCATAATACGAAGCCCTAGACAATTTAAGCCATATTCCTTAGTTAAGGAGTATTGGGCTCTCTAGGCAAGGAGGCCTCAGCAGTCCGTGGCGGTATTCCCTCGGCTGCAGCAAGATGCTCTTTAAACTTGCCCTAAGCCCCGAACCGTGCACAAAACTCCTCCAAACCGGCGTCCAGTTGCATCGGCCTCAATTTTAAACCTCCCACAACCTTGCAGTAAAAAACCTGTAGGACCTATATTATAACCCCTCTAAAGACCCTCCCAAACCTTGCCAAGCCTGTGAAACCGTACAGAACCTGCAACACCCTTTAAAGCCACAAAAACAATCAACGACCATAAAAGATTCTGTATTACTTCAGACTCCTTACCCTAGGCCCTGAACCCTAAACCGTAACCCCTAAGCCTAACAGCCCTAACCAACCCTTAAGCCCCGAAATTCAACTTTAAAACCACAAAGGCCCTAACCCCTAAACCCAAACCCCGAAGCCCTAAACCCTAAACCCCTAAAGCCCTAAACCCCCAAAACCCTAAACCCTAAACCCCCAAAACCCTAAACCACTAAAAGCCCCTAATGCCCGAAATCGGTGGATCCTGGAGTCGGAGGTTTAGGCCTTCTTGAGGGGGCCCAGAGATCCCAATACCCCTTAATTAAGGAATATACCTTACTTGGAGGCCCTTTTGACTTAGTAAGTCTACTTAGTATCCCCTAGAAACCTTATTAAAATCCCCATAACCCACCTTACTAACCCTACTTACTAAGTCAAAAGGGCCTCCAAGTAAATTATAATAAGATCCCTAATATGATTTAGGGTATATTCCTTAATCAAGGGGTATTGGGCTCTCTGGGTAGGGAACGTTCAGAGTCTTTTCTGGAGTCTATTATAGTAGGTATTTAGGGATCCCAAGGTTCAGGGCCCATCCCTAGACCCTAAACCCTAAACCCCAAACCCTAAACCAAAACAGTAAACCCTAAACCCTAGACCCTAAACCAAAACAGTAAACCCTAAACCCAAAACCCAAACCCTAAACCCTAAACCCTAAACCAAAACAGTAAACCCTAAACCCTAAAACCCTAAAGCCTAAAACCCTAAAACCCTAAAACCCCCAATGGCAAACCAGGGGCCCATGGTTTCAACCGCTGACTTAAGCCTGGGAGGTCTATGCTCTGATGGACTCCTTGCGGCTGAACCAGGCAGGGTTTAGGGTTTAGGGTTTAGGGTTTAGGGTCTAGGGTTTAGGGTTTGGGGTTTAGGGTTTAGGGTTTAGGGTTTCAAGGGCTGACCTGTAGCCGAAAAGACCTACCTTTAGGAGTTTTAGGATTTAGGATTTAGGGTTTCGGCTATAGGTTTTACGAGTTTAGGGTTTAGGAGTTTAGGGTTGAGGGTTGAGGGGTTGGTTTGTTTGAGAGGGTGGTTCAAGGTTTTCCCAGTAAGAGTTTCTATCGGTGTTTACTTGGAGGGTCGGGGGACTTAGTAACTGGTTATTTTAGGGACTTATAAGTACCATAACCCCAATTAGGGTCCCTGTTAGGGTACTTATAAGTCTACTTACTACCTACTTACTAAGTCCCCGACCCTCCGAGTAGGACATTGAATGCTTTCAGGGGTTGGGCTTTTGGGGTTTAGGGCTTGTAAACATACATACAATGCATACAATGCATGCAATGTATTTGTCTATCTATGATGTATCTTCTATTCATCTATCTGTCGATCTTGCTTGCTAGCTAGCTAGCTAGCTAGCTGTCTGTCCATCCATCCATCCATCCATCCGTCCGTCCGTCCGTCCGTCCATCCGTCCATCCGTCCATCTGTCCATCCATCTATCCATCCATCTATCTATACGTTTTGTATGTCTACAATCTGCACACATTCTGTTCCTTCTAACTTAAGGCCTGCCCTGACGCTAAACCCCCAAACCCTAAACCCGAAACCCTACAGGAAGCTGGATGTGCGTCTGGGAAAAAGGAGCTTAAAAAACTACCCTAAACCCTAAACCTTTCCCTGGTTATGAGGGGGAGAGCGCGGGCTGACCCAGGTGGCGGTCCCGCATCCTTAACCCTAAACCCTAATCTATATTATGAATGTATTCAACTATTACTGAGTGGGTGCCGTACCCAAGGTGGAGCTGAAGAAGCTGGAGGCGGAGAACGCCTCCAGGCGCAGGGGAGACGGGGCGTGTAGGGTTTTTTGGGGGTTTAGGAGAGTTTTAGGGGTTTAGGGTTTAAGAGGTCTAGGGCTTTAGGGGTTTAGGGTTTCGCGCTTTAAGGGTTTTGGGGGAGTGGGGAGTTTAGGGATCTAGGGGTCTAAGGGTTTAGGGGAGGAGTAAAGGTTAAGTTCGCATAGTAAAGAATCGTAAGGAACCCCTCTTATCTACTGTAGATCCCCACTTGGAGGCCCTGTTGACTTAGTAAGTCCACTTAGTATCCCCTAGAACCCCTATTATAATCCCCATAACCCAACTTACTAACCCTACTTACTAAGTCAAAAGGGCCTCCAAGTATGTACTGTAGATCCCCATGATAGGGGATGCAGGTTTCAGGGCCTGGGGAGCAGGGAGTGTAGGGTTTAGGGAGCTTAGAGCTCAGGGAGTTTTCCGGTTGAGGGACTGAAGGTCTTTACTTAACGGATCATGGGACTTAGTAAGTAAGGTTATAAATAAGGTAACTCTACTTATAAGTACATATAACCCCAATTAAGGTACTTATAACCCTACTTAGTAAGTCCCATGACCCTTTGAGTAGGGATTGAGGAGTTTGGGTTGAGGGAGTCTAGGCGTTAAGGAGTTTCTTTTTGGGTTTAGGGTTGGGCGTGTAAGTAAGGGAATGGGTTTAGGGTTTAGGGTTTAGGGGAAGGATGAATGCTGAAAGGAACTCCATGAATGATGTATCCCTCTATCTTCCTCATTGTGGCACAACCACTTGGAGGCCCTTTTGACTTAGTAAGTAGGGTTAGTAAGGTGGGTTATCGGGATTATAATGGGGTTTCTAGGGGATACTAAGTAGAAGACTTACTAAGTCAAAAGGGCCTCCAAGTAAGGGTGCCGTAATATGTTAGTACCCTTATTCCCTTTTTGTAGTCCTAGGTTCCTTATAAAGTTACCCAATACCAAAAAGAGAGGCCTTTTTATTCTTAGGTTACTGGGATCTTCCTCATTGTGGCACAACCACAATCTCCTAAACTGCCCGGCAGCCCGACGTCATGGAGGCCCGAGAACTCCCAAGGTCTCCCAAGGCCACAAACCCAAACTTGCACCCCCTGAAGTCGAAACCCAGAGATCCCAAGGGGCCCCCTTAATTAAGGAATATACCTTAAATTATAGTAGGATCCCTAATATGATTTAAGGTATCTTCCTTAATGAAGGGATATTGGGTTCTCTGGGAATTCGGAGCCGCATTGGAAACCCTAAACCCCCTGAGCCCTGAACTTCCTGAGCCTTGAACTCCCAAACCCTACAAACCCCGTAACCCCCAAACTCCCTGAGCCCTTGAACTCCCCTAAACCTTAAACCCCTAGACCCTCTAGAAAACCCTGCAAACCCCTTACCCCCAAACTCGCCGGTGGGCCCTTGAACTCCCCCAGCTGAACCACAACAGCCCAGGGACAAGAAGCTCTTGGCCCTGGAGCGGCAGACGCAGAACCTGCAGGTTCGGCTGGAGGGCTTTCAGGGTTCCTCAAAGGGATCCTTAAAGGGATCTAAAGGGCTCCTTGAAGGGATCTCCCTGAAAGGGACCTTAGAGGGTTCCTTAAATGGATCTTTAGGTTTCTTTCAAGGGATCTAAAGGGTTCCTTGAAGGCATCTAAAGGGTTCCTTAGAAGGCATCTAACGGGTTCCTTCAAAAGGCATCTATAGGGTTTGGGGTTTAGGGTCTACCTCGAGGATCATGGATTCAGAAAAGTAAGGTTATAAACAAAGTAACTGTGCTTCCAATTACGTCAAATCCCCATTAAGGTACTTATCAGAACCATGCATGCATATGGTTCTTACTAGGAGGTTCATGGGTAGTTTTAAGTGGGGTTATCAGAAGGGTAGCTGCAGTTATAAACCATATGAGGGGACTTTTCACCCCACTTATAACTACCCATGAACCTCTAAGCTAGACAAGGGTTCTGAGAAGCATGATGATGGGGTTTATATGGGCTCTTGAAAGGTTTGGGTTTAGGTCTTAGCCTTTGGGAAACTTTATCTAGCCCAGTTGTTGGAGTTTTTCAGAAGCCCCACCAAAAGAAACCCTAAACCCTAAACCCTAAACCCTAAACCCTAAACCCTAAACCCTAAACCCCGCAGGCAAAGATCACCATGGAGATCGATGCCAAGGTCAGAGCCTCGGCATTTTCCACATCCTTCGACTCTCCCGGTTTAGGGTTTAGGGTTTAGGGTTTAGGGTTTAGGGTTTAGGGTTTAGGGTTTAGGGTTTATGGTGTGCTTGCAAAGGAAACGCCATCAACGAAGTACTTATGCCCTTTGAGACAAGTACGGCTGCAGTATTAGTATGACTGTTATTCATGTTTTGTTCGTGCTACTGTCGTTGAGACGGTTACACACATTTTTCTCAAGCGCCGTGATGATGCTGATGTCACAATGATAGCTATTCTTGTTCTTGGTTGTGTTCTCTTGCCATAGCATGCGTGTTAATGAGATGACAGTCGTCATTGTCAGTTTGTGTTTCCACCATTACTGTTATGACAATGTTTCTCGTCTTCGTCACTATCACTCCGACTGAACCCTAAACCCTAAACCCCTAACCCCTATACCCCTAAACCGCTAGCCCCTAAACCCCTATACCCTAAACCCTAAACCCCTAAACCCTAACCCCTAAACCCCTAAACTCCTAGACCTTAAACCCCTAAACCCTAAAACCCTAACCCCTAAATCCCTAAACCCTGAACCCTAAACCCCTAAGCCCTAAACCCCGAAGCCCTAATCCCCTAAACCCTAAACCCTAATGCCTTGTGAGTTCGGAAGCTGCAAACGGCTTCCCAGGAAGTCGGGAGATGATCCGTACCAGCGCAGCTAGCAAAAGCGGGGTTTAGGGGTTTAGGGGTTTAGTGGTTTAAGGTCTGGGGGTTTAGGGGTTTAGGGTCTAGGGGTTTAGGGCTTTAGGGTTTAGGGTTCAGGGTTTGGAGGCGACATGTCGTGCATGCCTCCAAATCAACAGCGTAGGACCTTCACAGCAGGCCAGCCTGCAACTAAACCACAAGCCCTTGACCCAAAACTCAAAACCGCAAAGCCCTAAGCCCCTGACACCCTGAATCTCGAGACCCTAAACCTCGAAATCCTGCACCCCTGACAAGCCAAACCTTGAACCCCCCAAAGCCTCTAAACCCCCTCAAGCCACTAAATCCGAAGACCTACCTAGCAGTCGAGTAGGTAACCTTTTACCTTTTTTGGGTAGTATAATCCCTATATAACCAAAAAGGTTAACCTTTAGTTCCCCATGATACCCGACAAGTACTTAGTAAGTGAGGTTATAAGTGGCTTAATTGGGGTTATAAGTACTCATAAGTATAGTTACCTTATTTATAACCCCACTTACTAAGTCCCATGATCCTTTAAGTAACTTACGGAACCTCCCCGTCCGGTGCTCTGGGCCCTCCTCCCTGGGAGCCAATGGCGACGGGCTTAGATGAGCTTTTCGATTGGCAGGCGCGTTTCATACAAGTTCTGCATGGTTTCTCTGAAGGGCTCGGCTACTACAATTAGGGTTTCTATAAGGGCTACTATTAAGTTACTATCAAGTTACTATCAAGTTACTATCAAATTACTGAAAGTTACTATCAAGTTACTATCAAGTTACTATCAAATTACTATAAGTTACTATAAGTTGTTCAGGGCTTCAGGTCCTTGGGTTGTTGGAGCTTCGGGTTTTCGGGCATCAGGCGTTTCGGGCGTAGAGTTTAGAGTCTCTTCGCCGGTACAGGCCTCCAAGAAAGCAAATGCTACAGGTCTTGCCATGGGAGGAAGGGCCGGTTTAGGGTTTAGGGGTTTAGGGTTTAGGGTTTAGGGTTTAGGGTTTTAGGGTTTAGGGGTTTATGGTTTAGGGTCTCTTGGCATACGCTTCTTGATGCAGAGGTCCTAGCTGAAAAGGCAGCGTGTTCTGTGATCTGTGCGGCTGCTTGCGGGACAGGCATTTTGAGCAAGATACGATATGGCCAAGAGAAACATCTCACGAACGATGTTTTCTCAGATTTCTCCCTGCGTGATAGGATCCTGATTACAAGCAGCTTTGAGACAATGATCCCCACTTCTCAGAATTTCACCCTAAAGGCCCCCACAGCCCGTGGCCGACAGCCGTAACGCTCTAGACCCTACATGCGAAACCCTTGCAAAAGCACCCTAGACCCTACACCCGAATCCCTACAGCCTAAAGCCTAATACGACTGCAGGTCCTCGAACGACGCTTCGAAGAGCGCAGCGCGCGCCGGAGCGGCGCCCCGCGCCGAGTGGCTGAAGGAGCGTTGCTTATAGGAGGTATTTACTGGGTAGCACTTTGGGAAACTTCAGAATTTCCCTTATGGTTCCCAAACCCTAAACCCTAAACCCTAAACCCTAAACTAAACAGGTACCTACTCATAAATTTTTACTTTTAAAGGGCCCCCAACTGCAACCCAGCCAGTTTTACGCTGGACTGTGCTTCGGGCTCGGGGGTTCGCTGGTTTAATACAGGGGCCTGAAATACTTAGAGTAGGCTTTTGGGGTATATTATTTTTAGGGTTTAGGGTTTAGGGGTTTAGGGTTTAGGGGTTTAGGGTTTAGGGGTTTAGGGTTTAGGGTTTAGGGTTCAGCCAGAAAGTTGGAATGTGACTATCCTAAACCCTCTATGGTAGATTATAAGGTATCCTACCCTGAAACCATATTCCAACTTTCTGGAGTTCCCTTTAACCCCTTGGGATTCTAGGCTTGAGGTCCCGAGGGCGAGAAGGGCTTAGGGCGCAGGTTTTACCTCTGACACATGGGTGGTTGTCAAAGTTATGGTCCCTTTTTGGGTCCCTATTATAGTACGGCACTATTATCTGGGGTACCCACAAAGGAACCCTAATTTTGACAACCACCCACATTAAAAAAAAACTACCTTTTCAAGTATTTAGTTTGTGGAAACCATAAGAAGGAACCCTAGAAAAGGTACCATACTAAGGAGCCCTAAAACGGTTGACGCAGAGAACCCCCGATAACAGGTACAAGTTCATACCATGAAGCTCATACGAAGCCGTTGCGAGATCTCCCTGAATCCTCCGACAAGCACAAGAAAACCCCAAAGCCCTCACTAACTCTGAAGCCCTAAACCCTATCGCAAGCCCTTTCTTAACCTCAAGCCCGTCAGCTAAACCCCAAACCCCAAACCCTAAACCTTAAACCCTAAACCCTAAACTCCGAGCCCTAAACCCCAAACCCCAAACCCTAAACCCTAAACCCCAAACCCCAAGCCCTAAACCCTAAACCGTACCGTCTTGTTTGGGGTCGTCCCTGAGACTTTGCGGACGCCCGCAGGCCCACCTGCCAAGGACGCGGAGGCTTCCGCCCCGAACCTCAAGGCTGGGAAGAGGCGTAGGTATTAGGGTTCAAACAGGGGCTTGGATAGGGGTACCTTTTTAAAGGGTTCTATAATGGGGTTCCTAGGCTGGGAAGAGGCGTAGGTATTATCCAGAGGCTCCAAAGTAGTTCCTTTTTGGGGTTCATATATAGAATCCTATAAGGTAATCCCAAAAAGGAACTACTATGGAGCCTCTGGGTAGGGTTCTATAATGGGGTTCCTGGGAAGAGGCGTAGGCATTAGGGTTCAAATAGGGGCTTGGGGCATATTATAGTATAACTACAGGGGCCTTTTTAAAGGGCTGGGAAGAGGCGTAGGCATTAGGGTGACCTACAATCTCCTTCGCAGTTCCTGTTTTTGGGGCGAACAGATTTTGTAGTTATTTGGGATCCTATAAGGTAACACACATAAGGACATGAAATGGAGACTATAGGTACTAAGGTAGCTGAAGTGCTTACGAAAAGGGGTTACTATACGAAAAGGCCTCACGATGCGGGTCGCTATAAGGCTTCTAGGCTGGGGCTTGGCTTGGCCATGAAGGAGGCTGCACGTATAGTCTTGGGGTTTATGGTGCTTGTCGTGTTGGGGTAGTCAAGGAGCAGTCACGGAGTCTTGGAGGTTGCAATGTTTTTACTGGGGTTGCGATGGGTTTTGAAGGGGTTCCCAGACCTTCCAGAATCCTTTAATTAAGGAATATACCTTATCTCATATTAGGGATCCTATTATAATTTAAGGAATATTCCTTAATTAAGGGATTTTGGAAGGTCTGGGTTTGTTACGAGCTTTAATGGTTCGGATTGAGTTTACCGGGAGCGGCCCACAGCCTCAACATACCCCCGCAAACTCGCCAAAGAAAACTGCAGAAGCACAACTTAGTAGCTGAGTGGATACACTTTACACCTTTTGGGATTGGGATAGCATTACCCACTATAAAACTGAAAGTGTACACCTTTTTGGGCTTATGAACTCAGCAATGAAGACTACGCCGCAATAAAACCCTGTGCATCCCCACAACACACCAATCAGAGCCACTGTTGGGGGGCTTATGATTTAGACCCGAAGCCCCTCAACGGCTAAGGTTCTTGGCTTAAAGGTTAGGGTTTGACGCTTGAAGTTTCGGGCCTCGGGGTCCGCCTCTTCACGTTCTTGGTTCAAAGTTTGAGGATTTTAGGTTGAAAGTTCAGCGTTTCAGCTTACGATTCTCCTCTTCAGGTTCTTGGTTAAAGGTTTCGGGGTGTTTAGGTTTTAGGTTTAGGGTTTATAGGTTTAAAGTGTAAGGATTTTAGGTTTTAAGTTTAGGGTTTTAGCTTCCGAGTCGCCTCTTCAGGTTGCTGTCTTCGCTCTTGGCTGATTCTGGGAGCCTCAGCAGGTCCGGTCCGGGCTGCGATGTGGCTCCCGGGGTTACTGGAAGGACACTTAATTCTCCGGGTTCTATCATGATGGCTTTTCTGAGGGCTTTATATCGGGGCCTTCATAATTAGAATAGGGTTTGGGGGTATGTTATTATACTATATCTCTCAACTGTATAACAAGGAACCCCCCAAGACCCAGGGTTGCCACTTGGGTTACTTCAAAACAAGAATTACACCGAAGACGTCAGGGCTGTCAGGGATTGCCAGAGTTACGCGGGTTCGTGGGGATACGGCTTCAGGGGAGGGGTTCCCCCATGGATTGCTACACTGATTGCTTACAAGGGTGGCAGCAAAGTGCTGCATTACCTTAAGGACCCTAAAATATGGGAATTATGGTATATTCCTTATTATGGGTAATGCAGGATTTATATCTT